TTTATATACATTGAGATGAGACAAAATTTATAGCAGGCTCCTGGGCATGGCTTCGGGACTCTAATCCCAGGCTTCTGTGTGGTCGCTTGCCCGCCTGCCTGCCTGCCTGCCTCCCAGAATCCTGTGCCTGTTCCTGCAGCCAGGGGAACACTGGCTTCCATCCCCACACCCTCCTCTTACCTACCGAGTCTGTCCTCTAGCCAACGAGTCACCTCTGCTTTGGACCTTCGGCCCCTCTACCCATCACCCCAGTGTATATTCCCGAGTATGTGTGTGTTGATGTTGCTGGGTGTCTCATGTAACATAAAGAAACCCCTTGATCCTTTTTTTTTTTTTTTAAATTTTTTTTTTTTTTTTATAGAGGCATGTTTTATTTATTTATTTTGTTTGTTTGTTTGTTTTGTTCATACATGCACTGGGCACAGTCAGAAGCGCGGGAGGGTGAGAGAATTCACCAGAGCCAGAGCGGGGAGCAGAGCAGGCAGAAGGACCGAAGCACACTGCTGAGGGGAGCAGCGGGCAGCAGGAGAGGTCTGCGCGCCATGTGGGATCCTCCGCCGGTGGCCGGGAAGCAGCCGGGGATCGAACCGGCGCCGCAGAGGCCGCGGGCAGCTTCGCAACCCAGCACTCAACCGCTGCGCCACCAGGGAGGCCCAACCCCTTGATCCTTTTGAAGGATCATTCTGTATATAAAGAACAGGTGTTTACCTAACTTAAGGTTGAAACTCCTTCTGAAGGAAGCCTGACTCCCAGCCTGTGTGCTGCCCATGGCAAGGACAGACTACAGGCCGCTTGGGGACAGAGGGGCTCAGTGGACACTGCCCAGAGAGACTGTGTCCAGCGGGACGGGGGAGCGGGGAGCAGCGTGCAGCCTGTATCTATAGATACTCTGCCCTTCCTTTTCCTGGAGATGCCCAACACTTGCATTTGGGTAGCGCTGATTCCCAGCAATCGCACAGGACATTTTTTCTGTTCTTTCAAATGCTCTTGGGTTTTTAGTATTATGTTAGTAGCTATTTGAGAGTAACGAGCGCTACTTATCATTTTATATCGTTTATTTCAATTGTAAGTGGGTAAAAGGGAGGGTTGCAAGTAGATTTTTGTTCCCAGTTAGTCTCTGATGATGAGCTTAAGATTCTTAATCAATTTCCCTTCTTCCGATCACAAACCTTGGTGGCGACTGGTGGTGACTGATGGCTGAAGAGCGGTGCCCTGAAACTTCAGTGTCCCCAGTGGGGGGTACGCTTGACACTAGTTGGTGCTGATGAGCCAGAATGTGAACATGATTTCTGCAGTCAGTTTGATTTTAACCATATGAACCTCACAGGTTTGTTTCATGTTATACATACGCACACGGACATGCACGCATATAGTAAATGTTGTGGGGACAAGTCTGCTTACCTCCTCTTCTCTTGCCTAACCTTTCAGTTCTGCCCCCTCTGTGTTGCTGCCTTTCTGATATCAAAATCTGGCCATGATACGTCCCTGCCTAAAACCTGTAGTGAAGTCCATCACCCACCAGTTAGTCTCACCCCTTCCTGCCCAGAAGCAGGAAGCCTCAGGACAGGCCTTGGGTATCCAGACCCCTTCTCTCTCCCAGCAGCACCTCTCTTCTAGCAGCCTTCTTTTGGGGGACCCAGTTGCTGCTCCCCCACCGCGGTGACTCCATTGCATTTGCATACCTCTGAATATGATTCTGTGTTGTTCTTTCTTCTTAGCATCCTCATCTTTTATCTCTCAGCTCTGGGGCCCCAAGCACATGATGCACCTCCTCTTACCTGGTGCATTGTCCTTTCCTGGGATATGGGGTCTGGCATAGCACTGCAGCGCGCTCTCCAGAAATAGTTGCTGAATGGGTGCTGAGATCCTGAAGGATCTTTGCCTTTCGCCAATTAATCCCCCATAAGTGTTGAGGTTTCAGGTGAGGAACATTCATTGTGGATCACATAGTAAGAGGGATCTGGAGGTGTCCCGAGCCATGTGCTGGCCTGAGAGTAGCGGGGGTCCTAGTTTTATGGGGCTGATTATCGGGGCGGAGCAGTGGTGAGCAGTGGGCATGTTTTGGGCAGAGCTATACTAGGGCATGCATGCTTCATATGTGGTGTGTCTCATTAGCATCTTGGGTCACCACCCAGGGGCCTGAGTATTAGCAGACTAAGGAGACCTCCTAGTTCACGTCTAGATCATTCTTCTGCCATCTGCCTCTGCATGATCATCATGTTTTAGCTGGTTGGTTCTAGAGCCCGTGCCAGAAAACTGGAGCCTGTGCGGGGTGAGGGTGTGTTTCTCACTGGTCATTGGCTGGCTGGGGCCTAGTAGCCTGGAGACTCAAGAGCAGGAAGGTTCAAACAAGATCTCAGTCCAAGGGGTTCTGTAACAAGTGAGTAGCTACAGCGTAGATAGACCCATGTTCTCCTGTTATTAGTTTAAACATCTGAACTAAGGATAGGTAATTTCATTGTTTCTTTGCATCTTGAGCCTACCTCCATAATAGATATACTTGAAACTGAATAGTCATTCCATCTATTTGATGGTGAGGTGTCTTCAAGTGTGAAATTTGGAGTAGAATGTGAGTGTGCATGAGGCCATGTGTGCTCGCTGCAAACACACCAGGCTCGTACTTTCAAACCAGTTCCCCTTTTCAAGCAAGACAACCACCTCCATAGACAAGATACGTATCTCAGTGCTTTTCAGTCTCCTTCGGCATACACTTCTTGGTGTGATCAGAGGCAGTGACTCCCTTGCTATTTGTTGGGTATATTAGTTTTTGGAAATAGCTAAAACTCATTGAGAGCCAATTCTGGTCTACAAAAAAATGACAGTGTTTTTCTTCTTTGCATATGTGTAGTTCTGAAGTTATGTCTCAGTTGTGATAGTTCATCTGCATATGATAAATGGCAGGCATTTAAACAAGGTGAAAGTTTATTTCATCTCAGACAAGTGTAGTCAACAGCACAGGCCAGCTGACTGGCTACTGTCAGGAGGGACCAAGGTCCTTTGATCCTGCCCCATCACTTGTAGTGAATCTCACTCACCTCACAGCCCAGGAGGACTGCTTGAGCTGCCCACATCACTCCTGCATTCCAGCCAGCAAGAAGGAGGAGTAAGATGCCCCCACCCTGTTTTAAGGACTCTTCTAGAAAGTTCCACCCAAAAAGTTTGTCCATACTCCTTTGGCTAAAACTTCCGTCACTTCTACCTGCAAGAGAGGCTAGGAAATGTAGATTTTGCTGGATGGCAAAATGCCCAATTAAAAATCAAGATTCTATTAGCAAAATCGTTAAGAATTAAAACCTTTAGAAGGTCACCTTTTGTTGCTATCAAAGGATGATTTCAAAGGAGAAAGCTGTCCAATTATTTTAAGCTTGTGAGTATCTGTTTTTCTTCAGCACTGACAGAGTTCATGTGAGTGTCCAAGCTCTGAGATCTGTTTACACATCCACCTGTTTACAGTGAAATGGGAACTCGGGTGAAGCTGTGGGTATGCAGATTGGCACAAACTTCCCAGATAACAATTTGACCCAACAAGGTCAATTCTGGAAATTGATCTTAATGAAATAATTAAGGATTCTCGTGAAGATGATAGTGCTGATTATAGTAATAAAATGTTGGGAATAAATGAAATGTCTAGTAGGAAAAACTGGCTAGAACATACGATATCCTCCAGTAGAGGGTATGCTGCTGCATCTGCTGAATATTATGAAATGCAATACTGTGCCAGAATGCTTTCATAATGGCTTCTTTCTTATTTGTTTTTATATATGTATGTGGGAGTCACATGTGTAGGACATACACTTCTTGGTGTGATCAGAGGGTCTACATGAAGTTAAGGGGGCATGTGGACTAGATGTTCTATACAGTCTCTTTTCCTCAATCTCCGATTTTTTTGAGCATGTATTTTTATTATTGGAGAAAACAAGAATATACGCTTTACTGAATAATGCATGTCAGAGTAAATAATATACATATTTAAATATTTTTATATTATTTTCCAACTCCAGGAAATGTATAATGAAAGCCAGATTTCATATTTTGTTGATTTATACTTTATTTGCTCGGGAGGCTAACAGCCCCATAGAGTGTGATCATTACAGCATTGTTATGGAAATAAATGCCAGCTCATCTATTTGGGATGGGAATTGCTGTGAATCTCTGGCTTTTAGGCACTGCTTTCACTTAACTTTAGCACGGAGGGGCTCAGAGGAGACAGTTCCTAATACCTTGTTGGTCCTCTGGATTCAGAGACACCATCCACCCACCCACTTTCTTACATTTGAGAATAACCATTAGACCCTGGGGCTTGTCAATGATATGTTAAGTTTAGGTGTGTGAAGTTAATAGGATCACTTATATGGGGTAAGACAGTTCATAATGGAACAAGCAGACAAACCTTTCCGAAAGCCATCTGATAAACCTGAATGCCATCATCTTTAATATTTTCTAGTTTAATCATTTTTAAACCAAAGTATTTCTGCACACTAAGGATTTTGAAGATATTTCAGGAAGGAACAAACAGGTTCAAAATGCAAAAAAGAGCAGAGCATGATTCTTTTTAAAGTAATAACACACCGTATTGCTGGCAATGCTTCTGCATTATCACATGGATCCCAGGCATCCCTGTAATGTGGGTGCTGTACCCCAATTTGGAGATGAGAAAAGAGAGGGCCAAGGTCAAATAAGCAAAGAACTCATCCAAGACCCAACAGTGAGTCCTTTGGAGAAACTGCTCTTGAAACCCTTCTCTCCTGACTCCAAGCACAGAATATTTTCTCCCTGCCTTCAGGGAGCTCTGACTTGAACCCACATCCTGTCATTTCAGATCTGAGCGGGGAGGCCGGGTCCCTTAACTGTCCATTTGGGGACTTCATCAGGGCAGGAGGAGGGGTTTCCTGGTTAATGGAGCCACCGGGTGCTGGTGGTGGCCAGTGACCGAGAAGAATGCCTCCAAGGGGCTGGGAGGAGGCCGTGAGTCTCACTACCTGTCCCCTCTGTACCCACAGTGTGCCCGAGCGCGTGCGGGAAGCGGGCATGCACCGAGAACAATGAGTGCTGCCACCCCGAGTGCCTGGGCAGCTGCAGCGCACCCGACAATGACACGGCCTGTGTGGCCTGCCGCCACTACTACTACGCCGGCGTCTGCGTCCCCAGCTGCCCGCCCAGCACCTACCGCTTCGAGGGCTGGCGCTGCGTGGACCGCGACTTCTGTGCCAACATCCCCAGCGCCGAGGGCAGCGACTCGGAGGGCTTCGTGATCCACGACGGCGAGTGCATGCAGGAGTGCCCCTCGGGGTTCATCCGCAACGGCACGCAGAGGTCAGTGGGGTGGCCTGGGGCAGGGTGGGGATGAGAGCCTGCCACTGCCAGTGCCTCATTCTGAAGGGGACCCTGACAAGGTGGAGGGCTGGCCTGAATTACATTCTTTATAAGGTTACATTCTTTATAAGATTCCTAGCTCAGTTGCCCCCCCTCAGGTAGTATCCTGCCTGGCCATTTGAAACTCAGAGTCTCATTGGCTGGCGGAGACACCCTCTTTCCCTGCTCCCTTGCTGGGCCCTCTGAGCACAGGCAGGGAGACTGAGTTCAGCCCTTCCTCCCGCCCTGTGCAACCCGTCTCCACCCCAGTGAAGGCTTCAGGAGTGCGAGACAGGACGTGGCCTGCAGCCCCAAGAGGTCCCGGTCTGACCTGGGCCCTGGCAAAGCTGAGCAGTAGCCTGAAGGAACTTCCCACCTGCTCCAACGGCACCTTCCTTCTCCCTCCCTGGGGTCTGCGGCCCTCATTTTCCTTCTGGAACCCTGAGGCTTCACTCGGGATCCTGACATCAGAGGGCAGGCCTGTTCTCCCTGAGAGCCCCCCAAGTTTCCTTTCTCAGCATTGCTCCCACATGGGACCAGCTGGCTCACCAGCCAACAACCCGTGACACGTGCATGCCTCCAGCATGTGTCACGTATTTTGTCTGGAACTCTTCCTCCTTTTGGTTGCAATTTGAGTGGCCGGGTGGGCTTGGGGATGAGATATAGCGTAACCAATTGAATGCCGCCAGCAGTTGCTTTTTATAACGTGTGCTTGCGAAACCACTGTAAAATAAAAAGTATCTCCTGATGATGTTTGTCAGGCCAGGAGACACTCTGATCTGTGTTTTGATCGGTTCTTTACCTCCCACAGCATGTACTGCATCCCTTGCGAAGGTCCTTGCCCCAAAGTCTGTGAAGAAGAAAAGAAAACAAAGACCATCGATTCGGTGACTTCCGCGCAGATGCTGCAAGGGTGCACCATCTTGAAGGGCAACTTGCTCATTAATATCCGACGAGGCAGTGAGTATCCCTCCCCTTGGAAGAGACGGCTAGGTCTCTTGGTTTTCTTTTGTTGATGCTTTTTCCTCTCCATCCATGACTCATGACTAAAATATGGAGCTAACAAAACACCATGGTACGTCAGCCTCGTGCTTGACGCCTCCCTTCTAGTTCCCCTCAGAGATAAAGAGCAGCTTGAAAGACAGTCTGTTTTCTCGCCATCGGCATATCGTTTGTTCCTGCAGAAGGGCATATCATTTGTTCTTGCAGAAGGTCATCTCATCTTCCTGTGAGCCATCTTATGCAGGAGAGGCAGGTCCCAACACACACAAACCCCAGGAGACTCCCATGGAGAGGAGGCATGACTCAGCAGCCTCCAGCCAGAGCCAAGTCCACACGGCTTTATGTCCAAAGGGTTTTGGCTTCTGAGATATACTGAGAAGACTGAGCAAAGGGAAGAGCCAAATGATATGGCTTTAAAATTTGATCAAGTCCAAAACAGTGGTTGAAATCCACCTTTATTTAGGAGTGCCAGAAAAATAGAAGGTGGGCCTCACCCCTGGAGGCTCACCATCGCCGCCCTGGTGGTCTGATGTGTAGCGACTCCTCCCACTGCCTTATTCTGTGCTATGTCACATCTCATCTTTCATGGACAAAGTGTCTAGTAATGGTCCCTTAAATTGCCCCCTGGTGGGACCATTTAGTCAAGACTCTGAGAGTCTCCTAAGCTAGAATAAATACAGTCAGAACACGTTGAGGTCGAAAGGAATTTTCCCTTTAAATCCTTTTGTGATGAAAATTTTAAAGTTGGGGGAAAGAAAATGACTGATTTACTCAGTGAATTTACTTTTCTTCAGCACTATTTGTTGAATGAGTGAGCTGTTCGTGCGGTGTAGAGTTGGCAGAAACAAAAAGAAATCGAAAAAGGAAAAAGAAGAGAGAGAGAGAGAGAGAGGTGGCAGAAATAAGTTCTTGCTTTGAGTTTTTCAAAAAAGTCTCTTGTTTTTCATACCTTTCAACCCCCGACACCATTTTGCTTCCACAGAGCTAGAATTTTCTTACTCGTGTGCTTCTTCTACAGTTTTCTTCTTTTTGCTCTTACTAGATTTCCTCATTTTTGAAAATGTCCTCATGCCTAGAAGGTAGCCTTTACGTCTGAGCCTTCCTTTTATGTAATCTTCCTATTCTGAAGATGAAACTATAATTCATAAAGCCAATCCGTAGAAGCGTAATTTGAGCAGGAACGGGTCTCTACTGGACATGTCTATGAAATGTGCCTTCCAGCTTATACCCAGCGCAGGAAAGCAGTTGACTTTAGGGGGATGGGACACTTCAGTGGCCAGGGCGTTCCCTGCCAGGCCTTGGCTAAGAGGCACGGGCCCTGCCCTGCATTTAAAATCCAGGCTCCTTCCCTTGAAACACCAACTGCAGGCAGACTCTTGTCTTTGAACTTGAACTCCTCCTTCAAGTCTCTTGTTAAACCTTTGAGCAGTACATTAAAGTTAGGACCTTATCCTCCAGGACAGCACCCTTAATCTTTTATTTTCATCAATTCAAGATAGAGCCTTTTGTTAAATTCACAAATCATGTACCATTTGCAGAGTTACACCCCATTCATGATAGTGTTTAATTTTGGCATAAGCTGAAACAAAGTCGATGTTTTTGATTTACTATGAGAAAAAGAGAGGCACAACATGCTAACAGAGATGCACTGTTTACATATATCATGTTGATTCCACATGCACATCAGGAGGTATTTTCACAGCGGTTTACCAGTCATAAAAACAATATACGTGCCTTCTAGAAAACTTAGAAAACAGACGTGAATTTTTAAAACTCGCCTGCATGGAGCTATTGTGAATATATAGGTGTGTTTTCCTCCGGTTGTAGCAAGACGGGAACCTTTAAATATAGATCCCTGAATCTTAGGAACAAGAAATGCGGTTCCTAATGAGACCGAGAAAGTGTTGATTCAGTCGTGGCCCGGTACAGTGAGGCAGTCCTGTCTGTTGACAGAGCATATTAAAAGATGTTCCCTAGACTTGTCGGCCTTTGCTAATTGGCAGTCTGGTGTTTATGATTCTACATTCTGTTCATCAGCCTGGGAGCTGCAGATCCCAGCCTTCTAGAAACTCACCTTCCTCTGCCTCCAGGCCCTGTCCCTGGTTGTTGAAAGGCAAGCCTGGGAAGTCATGTTGGTAACCGGGGGCTCAGCCTGGTCCTGTGTAGCAGCATCCCCGAGATCTGCCACCGACTGCTCTCCCCATGTGTCACCGCATGTTTACGAGAAACCATGTGTGTCTCCCTTATGCTAAGTGAAGACTTGGTAACCGGCCCCTCTTCCTGCAGATAACATTGCCTCGGAGCTGGAGAACTTCATGGGACTCATCGAGGTGGTGACAGGCTATGTGAAGATACGGCACTCCCACGCCTTGGTCTCTTTGTCCTTCCTCAAAAACCTCCGGCAGATCTTAGGAGAGGAGCAGCTGGAGGGGTAAGCTCTCCCCAGTCCGTGGACAGAGGTGCCCCGAATACAGAGTCAGTCGTGTGCTTTTAAAATTTTAAACTCTGCATCACTAATGTATAAAGGAGTGCTTTCTTGGGAACAAGGGTCAGGAGACAGGTCAGGTCAGCGCCACCAGGGTACTGCCCACACCCTGGGCAGAGCCCCACGTGGTCCTCATTCCCCGTCAGTCAGTGAGTGTGACCGAGGCCACTGGTGAGACAGACGGGGCTGTGGTTGCGCTTCGGAGCTCGTTCTGCCAAGAGGCCTGGGAACGGGTCTCGAGGACTTAACTCCCCATGAAATCATCATTTACAAGACTTCCATCTGCCTCGGGACGCTGTGCTCTGCTGCCCTTGCAGCTTTTAAAATATCTTGGAACATAAGAGATCTGGACAGTCCTTTTTGTTATAAAGAAATCGCGATTCGCAAAAATTGTTTCTATTGATCAGCTTCTAGGATTTACACTATCGATGGACTGTTGCCTTCTGCAGAGATACACTTTGTGAGAGAGGGTTTAAAACAGTCAAAGCCTTTTCTCCAGAGGAGGGGAAATAAAGCTGGTGCTGACTGCACACAAGGTGTCTTTTCTGCAACCAGCCTCTGGGTCCCCCATTAAAGACAGCTCTCTCGTCTAACTCTAAGCTAACACCTTGGAATTAAAGCGTGAAGTCCTTCTGGAGAGAATTTGAGAGAGGAATTGAGGAAGAAAGGTAGGAGGGCATGGGAAAGATTGTCCTTGCTGATGTATGTGCCCCAGTGGGATAAGTTACCACAGAAAGGTTCTTTACAGCCTTCCTGTTTTTCTCAGGCTAACTCTTGGTCAGTCTTAAATTCTTAAAATTCCATCATCTGATACAGCAAAAGAGAGGGGGCAACTCTTCATTCCATCCTTGAAAAACACACTCTCCTCCCCACTGGGAACTGAGATTCTTTAGGAAAACCTTTCTCCTGGCAAATCTGGGGGCAGCCGTCATGCCCAGGGGGGCCCACTGGGCTTACCCAGCACGATGGAGCTCTGCCCTTCCGAGGTGGGTGCTTCTCCTTGGTTCTGTCCCATTGAAAACTGAGCACTGGCGTGTTTTCCCCCTCCAAGTGGGTTTGTGTTTCTGGCATCCCCAAGAAGCTCTTTGTCTCCGGCAGATTGGTATCTGCTGAGCCAGTGATAGACCTAGAGGGGAAAAGTGGGCGGTGAGTTTAATTAATTCTTATTAGGAATTATTACATGAGGTGATTATCTTTCAGTTGGGCGTTAACTAAAAAGCATTCTACACTTAAATGTAGCTGAAAATGAAACCTGATTTTCATTTGCAAGAGTATTAAGGGTGCATTTCTCATTATCTGGATGTGTGGAAGGCCTGAAGTCCCCAGCGGGGGTTTTGTGAGGATGCCTGTCCCTGCTCAGGTGTTCTGGAAGCTTCCACACTCAGGTAAGCTTCAGCCCCTGCCTGGCTGTGAAGAGTTTTAGATGGCGGGCACGGCAAATGGGCCACAGATTTTCACAGTGTGCTGTGTGTGATCTGTGGCCCTGGTAGCTCTGAGGACATGGCCTTATAGTCTTTTGTTCCTGCCGGCTGCTGGCTGGAGGCTTTCCTTTCCTGAGGGTGCAAGAAGAACTTGCCTTTCCTGAAGGGAGCTGGGCTATCCCACCTGCCTTCCATACACATGACGAGAATAGGCTTGTGATGAGCTCCCCCAGCCTTCTCCCTGTGCAGTGTGGCCAGGAACGATGATTCAGTGCTTTATTTCTTCCTGGTCAGCTCCTTCCTTGCTCCCTCATTCCTACAGGAAGGGAAGGGTCAGAGGGAGGGACAGAAGAAGGGAAGATGAGAAACAGATGCCAGCAGTGCAAAGCAGAACCTGCAAGGTGCTCTGAGGGAAAGACACGGAACGTGCCATGGGCACGAGCAAGTCAGTTATCTGATAGGGAAGATCAGAGAGGCTTCCGAAAGCAGTGGCATTTGAGATGGGCCTCTGAGGGCATCCGGAAACACTCAGAAAGCAGTGGGTGAAGAAAGGTGGTTCAGGGCAGGGCACCAGGAACAAAGGCAACATGTTGGGGCATCCTGGGGCCTGTTTGGCGAATAATGCTTGAGAGGTAGGTGGTATTAGAATTACGTAAGGTGTTATGCACCCAGGTGTGGAGGTTATAATTTAGGGAGGCAGGGGGACCTACTCAAGGCTCTGGAGTTAGAGGAATGTTAGCAGAGTTGTCCAAAAATTTGATTTCTATACATTGCATTTCTGTATGCTCTTGAGCTAAGTTAACTTTCACCTCAGAGGCTCCCAAACTTTGCTACTCACATCTCGAGAGCTCAAGGATCCTGATACACAAGTCGCGCTCCATCCCAATTCAATCAGTGTTTGGGGGGAGGCACCAGATAATTTCAATGTGGACCAAAGATTGGAAACTCCTGCGTGAATCCCTTAGCTGCTTCTTCCCATATGTTTATCCCCAAAGCACTTTGAGATTTTTTTTCCTAAATATTTTCTTGTCAAACTATTGCTTGAAAGTCCTATTTATTCTTGAACCCTCACAGCTCAGGAGAAGGTAAATAAGTGCTTCCACTGGGTCAACAGAATGAAGTCGCCGTAGGCCTCTGTCTGGATGGCGCTCTGGTCCATTTATCCTGCTGAGATGGTCCTATCTGCTGACCTTGGCTTTCCAAACTTGAGTAGAGGTCTGCCTCCCAACATATACCGAGCAGCCCGGACCACAGAGTCCAACCCACAACATGAAATTCAGGTGTACTACCTGAAGGAGAGCTGAGTCTTTGCTTAGCAGGCAGCAGCTGTGTCATCTAATTTCCAGGCTGGTGACAGATAAAGGCAGAATCCGGAATAGACAGCAGGGCACTCAGTCACTGTAACCAGGCCCCCCAACAGCATTGGACAGTGGTCATTTTGTCCAGAAGAACTAAGACAGCCAACGTTCCCTTAAGAATATATTTCGTGGTGTGTAAGGTGGTGTGTTTTTTGGTAGACATTAAGAAAATCAAGGTTCTTTTGCTATTTAGGAAGGAGTGGCTATTTCTATAGGATGGCTAGTTCTTCAGCCATTGAGTAAGAAAGAGAGTATTTCTGATGCTTGGGGAGCCTTTCACTGGACACCCTTAATTTCTGATGGCATCAGATAAGTTCACATTTCAGACTGTTTGGTACCACCAAGGATTTTTGCTCTGAAAGGAAGAAAAGTAGGTGGAGGTGGCTGGGTTATAGGATTGAGATTCTTGAATGTGTTTAGGACTCTCTGTGATCCTGTCCCTGCTGCTGGACTTTGCGACAGACACTGTACTCTTCATCCTGTGTTCCTGCGACTCTGAGATTAGCTTTCAACATGACTGCACTTTAACCCTCTCTGGAACTTTGAAAAACATATGTACTCAGCGACTTCCCAGCCTCTATGTGGTCTCTACCCAAGAGAAATGAAAACATGCCCACACAAGACTTGAGTGTGAATGTACATAGAAGTAGTATTCATTACACACCCCAGTGCCCCGGGAACCCCCGACCCCAAACAATCCTGTCCATCAGTGAGTGAATGGATTAAAAAAAAATGTGGCACAGTGGAACACAGCTCACCAATAATGTAACACAGGCGAACCTCAACAATCTTAGGCTAAGTTACAAAAAGAATGATAACAGCCAGACACAAAAGAGTACACCTTGTACCATTGCATTAATATGTAATTTCTAGAAAAGCAAAACTAAACTTGGGAGCCAGAAAGCAGGTCAAGATGGCTGGGGATGAGAGTGGAGACTGACCGCCACCAGGGAGAGATGGGACCACTTTCAAATTGCAGGAGGCAGCAGTTGGACAACTGTGTAAATGTACAGTCACTCCTGAAACTGTACCAATGGTGGGTGGGAAAAAAATGGGGGAAAGGATAGAGAGATATATATTTATAATATATAAAATATATAATATATAATATATAATATAATATTTATATATATTTATAATATATATAATTTATAATATATATATTATTTGCAAAGCACTCAAAGAGAAAACATTTTCCGAGTATCTGGGGCCTGGCTGAACCCCCTCTCCTCTCGCAGGTTGTTGTAAATATTGGGTTTGGGGTGACTGGGATGGGGTGTAAACCAGCCTGTTGCAGGAGGCCTGGAGGCAGCATCTGTGAGAAGCCCAAATGCTGCATCGCAAGTCACAGGTTGCCGGGGTGCTGGAGACAGCCAGTCTGCTGGGTTCTGGTGCCCCCTGGAGACAGCCAGAAGGAGGCCATGCTGTCTCTGAGAAAGGAAGGGGGCACCCAATGTGTATTTGCAGGTGTTTTTCCAGCCGGCCAGTGTAGACTAAGAAGGGGGGATTTTCCCTTCCTATTTCTGTGGACTGGAGACCTCGGGCTCGGCTGCTCAGCTGTCTCTACCACAGTGAATCAAGACTGCCCTGAGTTGTTGCTTAGTAACTGCGGGCATGAGGCTCAGACCCTGATCGGTGGATTCCCAAATGCCTGAACTGGGGCCTGTGATTTGGGCACCACTCAGATTACCCACGTTTTCTTCCCCTGGGTCAGAGCAAGTGGGGCGCTGTGATATTAATAATGCAGGGGAAGGCAGCCCTGAGGCTGGAGCCCCAAATGAAACAGTCGATCCAGATACTAAACAAACGTCTTCAAGGAGAAAACCAGCCACTCCCAGGCACCCCCGTTGGTCTACAGACGGATAGATGGGGCAAGTCCAGAAACAAAAACTTCTTTTGCAACGCTAAGAGGGCCAGGAGCCAGGATGTCCCAATATCTATAAAACCCAGGCATCCTGGAGGCAGCGTCAGCAGCAGATAAATCAACAAAGAATTTTTTTACAATATTCTTCGACTGTAAAGGGAGCAAATTTAGAAAGAGTTGTTGAGTAATTGACTTAAATCACTGTTTCCTTGAGGAAACAATATTTCACTCTGTGTGTGTGTGGGGGGGAGCAGACAAGCCTCTGCCTTGGCCTTTTACTATCTCTTAATTCTCACCTAATCATGGAAGGAATGGGGGGAACTGGGGAGCTGGATCCCAATCTGGGATTGGAAAAACAAGAGCGGTATTGACAGCTCATGAATGGCTTGATTATTATTTTGATGGGGGCTTATTTTTATTTTTCTGTCACTTGCATGGGCTCCATAAACTCCTGGGTTTTATTGATATGGGCATCCTGGCTCCCGGCCTTCCCAATGTTGTAAAAAAAAAAAAAAATTGTTTACTGTGAAAAGATAATCTTGCTTTTCAAAGTGATTAATCACATACACAGCATTTCGGTGTGCCTGCCATTCATTTGTCAAATTCCTGATTTATAATTCATGCTTCCTCCCATGGGGAGAAGCATGTTTTTTTCGGAAGGTATTTTTGGCGCGGTTCTGTTCCCTGGTGGTGAAATTAGTTGACTGAAAAGAAACCTCATGTTGGATCGAGATGGACATTTGACCTGGTTAATTGGCCCTTACTCCTGGCCTAGCAGTTTCTGTACCAGTAAGATTTTTATCCTGGGAGGCCAACTTGGGAACCAGGGGGAGCAGTCAGGCCCTTTGGGGTCTGCACGGACCTGCAGTGTCCTGTAGCTGGACATACAATTCCATGAGCAAGAAGGGGCTTATGATTGGGGTCCTAGTTACTGCCTGCAAACCCTGGGGTTGCACGTCCCACATCCATATTCATGACGATGCTTTGTATGCTTTTCAACAGATGTGTGTTAGGGAGTGAGCTCCTAGTGAAAGGAAAGACTTGTTGGCTCACAATTTGGGCTGCCTGATTGGCAGCCTTGACAAGACTCCCAGGTGGGTTTGTGAGGACACTGGCTTGCTGTCAGAGGCACTACCTGGGGGCTTCATTATGGGTCCACTGAACCCCTGTGGAGGCAGGACTCTTATGAGTGCTCTCATAGGGGTTGGCCTCAGGCTGGTGGGGGAGATTTCACCTCAGATCTGTGACTTCACCTGGACATGAGGGCCTTAGACTCTTAGAGGTAAGAGGGAACTCAGGTGACAGCTGTCCATACCGCTGATGAATGTGAGTTTGGGGATGGAGCCACAGGAAGCGCTGAGCAGCCTGCCTAAGGCTGTGTAGCTCCTCCATGGAGTTTCCAGTGTTTCCCATCTCTGAGGTCCTCCCTGCAACTCCCTTGTGAATCCCAGGGACATGGCAGGGATCTGCTTGGCTGCCTTGTAGAAGCCTAACTTGTTGCTTTGCCTGAAATGACTCAGGCTGAGGATGGGCCAGGTGGGTGGGCGTGAGTGTGGAACTGCAGAACTTGCCAGACACAGAGGTGGCGTTGACAAGCCCCCAGACCAGTATAGTGCTGCTGGCCTCCGTTTCGTCCTGGCTCTGGGAGAGGCCCGGGAGCCCGCCTGCTCCTGTGTGTGGTTTAGATCTGTGAATGAATCTCAGATACAGCTCAATCTGCTGCCCCCGTTCCTAGACTCGATTTTGTATGTCAGTGAGCCCCAGAAGGAGATGGAAGCGGCGAGCTGGGGTTGGGAAGGAAGGATTTGAAGTCCACGGGGACCCACTCCTTCAGTCAGAGGATTCAGATGCGCAGTGGTGAACCTGTCTGCCTGGTGTCCAAGGGGAACCAGAGAGAAAGGAGTCCTTACCCCACACGCCGTCTGTGCTCTCGGCTTCCTGGATAATGTGGGATTCTCCTACCTGGGGAGCCAAAGGTAGTTATTGCCAAAGCTGACTGCCCCCCTCCCACTTTGCTTTCAGTGGACAGCTGGGTCCATCCCCTGGGCCAGGCCCCTGGTCTGCCTTGGTCATCTCTGACTTCAGCCTTTCCTTGGTGCTTGGCATCCATGAGAGCACCTTCTCCAAGTGTGAGCACAGCACCAAGAGCAGCAGCATCACTTGGGCGCTGGTCAGAAATGCAGATTCTCGGCCCACCCAGACCTGCTGAATCAGAAACTCCAGGGAGGGGCTGGCATGTTTCTGGCAGGGCTCTTGCAGACAAGCTTGGTGCAGACAAAAATGAAATTAAAAAAAAAATTTTTTAAAGATTTATTTATTTATGCATACAAGAACTGGGGTATAGGCCAGAGGTGCAAGAGGTGAGAGGATTCACAAGAGACAGAGTGGGGAGCAGAACAGGCAGATCTACTGAAATACGCTGCTGAGGGGAGCAGCAGGTGAGATAGGAGAGGTCTGCTGCGCCATGTGGGTAGCTCCCTGGCTGGCTGGGGATTGAACTTCTGCTGCAGTGGCTGCGGACAGCTTCACAGTGCTGTGTTTAACCCCTTGCGTCACCAGGGAGGCCCCCCAAAATTAACTTGGACAGTCACCATTAATTGCTTGGATGGGTGGCCCAAAGGGACTATCCATCTGGGGTCATTTGTCCTGCCCCACACGCTCTCCCACCCATCCTGTGCTGCATCCCACAGGGGTGTGCTTTGCCCCCCAAGGAGAAGGGCAGGCTTTCTGCAGCAAATAGGTAAGCTGTTCTGGTCGAGTCACAGAGCGTATCTGCTCGCCCAGGGGCTGATTTCAAGGTGCTGTACATACTCGGCTCTGAGAAAATAACCAAAGGCTTTTCTCGGGATAATTCAGGTAACATCCTCCAGCATGAGAAACATGATCGGTCAGTAATAGAGGTCATAAAATTAATTAGTGTCTTATCGACTTCAATATGTTGTCCTTGGGTTACATTGTTAAGAGTGACCGCCAGTTCTTATAGCCCATTAATAACAAATCTCCTATTGGCAAAGGAAATGCATCCTGGGGCCACATGGCCAAGAGCGCCGGGGTGGAGTGGGCAGGCTGGTGTGGAGAGGAGAGGGCCTGGGCTCATGTGGGCTCTGTGCTTCCAGGAATTACTCCTTCTACGTCCTGGACAACCAGAATCTGCAACAGCTGTGGGACTGGGACCACCGCAACCTGACCATCAAAGCCGGGAAGATGTATTTTGCTTTCAATCCCAAGCTGTGCGTATCCGAAATTTACCGCATGGAGGAAGTGACGGGGACGAAAGGGCGTCAGAGTAAAGGGGACATCAACACCAGGAACAACGGAGAGAGAGCCTCCTGTGAGTGCGTCACCACTGTCCCGACCCTTACCGAAGAGATAGCCCATCCTCCCAGTCTCCTTCTAGAAAAATCATGTTTTTATTAATTTGTCAGTCCTTTGTATAATGGTAACGTGGGGATACGACCTCACACCTCCCGAGGTGCCCATGCTCAACACCAAGTGAAGCTGGGCCAGTGCATTTCAGTGCAATTATTTGCAAGGCGGCGTCATAATTAGAGATTAAATTCCCTACCAATATCCAAAGACTTACAAGGAAATTCTGATTATTGGTTCAAAGGAAAATTCCATTTTAAAAGTTATAGCAGATTCGAGTCCCAAAATAGTCCTTGTGTGAGAATAGTCTTTCCATTTCAACAACTGTGGTAAAGGAGACCCTCCTGTGGACTAGAATAATACTTGTAATCAAGCAGACCCTCCCCCAACTGGCATGGTCCTACTTGCCATCCCTTCCTCTTTTCACTTTGGGGGACACAAGGTCCCCTTAACTAGCTCTTTTCCCACAGATCTTTTTTTTTTTTAAGATTTATTTATTTATTTGTTTGTTTATTTATACAAGCACTGGGTACAGTCAGAAGTGCAGGAGGGTGAGAGAATCCACCAGAGCCAGAGAGGGGAGCAAAACAGGCAGACTGATGAAATACACTGCTGAGGGGAGCAGCGGGCACGGCAGGAGAGGTCTGCATGCCATGTGGGAACCTCGCTGGCCGGCCGGGGATCGAACCGGTGCTGTAGAAGCTGCAGACAGCTTCACAGCCCAGCGCTCAACCGCTATGCCATTGGCAAGGCCCTCTTTTCCCACAGATCTTTATCTTCAAAGTCACTTGTAATCAAGCAGACCCTCCCCCAACTGGCATGGTCCTACTTGCCATCCTTCCTCTTCTCACTTTGGGGGACACAAGGTCCCCTTAACTAGCTCTTTTCCCACAGATCTTTTTTTAGTGGGGCACATTCATCAGACTCATGGATGTAAATTTTCCTTAGTGCCCATCTGCATCTCTCAGTTGGTCCTTGGATTTGAAAGCAGAGTGCACAGCATAGAGTAGAATGTCTTCCTATGCACAGCCATGAAGTGAAGTCTCCTCCAGCCCTGAGAGCAACCCTCACCCTCATCCAGGGAAGGCGGGGGGCTCAGATACCAGTGCAGCCCCTGGGGTGGTGCGTCCCTGTACCTGTCTTGGCCACCTCCTTGCTCCCACCCCACCCCGAAGAACACTGGTGAATCCCTTTCTCCCTGGGTCGATATTGCCTCTTAAATGAAGCACGATATAATTATACCTCTGCACTGGTTATACAACTTTTACTGTGCCTCTCTCATCCAGCCCCATCTGTAAAACTGCTTTTAAATTGTTGTGCTTCTGTTTGGCTGGAGAGGGTTATAAAGGTAAATTGTCTCTCCACTGCTGGCTTTTAATAAGGCGAAGAGTATTAGGAAAAAATAGTCATTTATGTGATGGAAGGCAGTTTGCACACTTGCAGGTGGGGTGTGGTGGTGGCTCTGTGAAATGGTCAGCAGGCGACGTTGTCAGCCGGCCGGCATCTGGGTCACTCAGCGAGAGTTTAGAGGGAAGAAACCGGACCGAGAGCTGGAGGGTGTGTTTACAGCCAGCACCTCCTGCCTCCCACTGCCTCCCTGCAGCCCTGGCCCTGCTCCCTGTTCAAGCCCTAGCAGGACTGCAGCCAATGTATCAGCTCGCCTTCAAAGGCTTTCTCTTGGGAGTCCACCGTACTGACCTGTCAGCTCCTGGATTCAGTAGCCGTTTCTTTTCCTGTGAAAACAAAATCATGTTTTCTCCCTAAATAACACCCTTGTGGAATTGCCACGCTCTCCAGTCTCCATCAGCACATTTTACCCCATGGACTTCTTGGTTTCTATCCGCCCTCAGCTGCTCTGCTTTGCCTCCTTAGTTTGCACCAGATGCAGCAGACACCTGGATTCAGGAAGAAACTCCAGGCCTCCCCGAGGGAAGGCAGTCACCTTCTCTCAGAGCAGGTGGAATCTGGTCTGAAGAACACAGGGGCTGGTACAGCGTCCCTACCATCCCCCACCAGCCAAAGGTTACTCCCCCAGATCACAGAAGGCCTTCCCAAGTGAAGGTGTTAACGTCCTGCTAATTCAGTTATCTGTCAGCCCCTGCTGGAGCCTCCAAAGACTTCCCGTGTTTCCTGTTTGATGCTGAGTGTAGACTAAGAAAAGTCCCCCTCTGTGGCACACCTATCTGGTGGTCGCACACCAGCAGGCAGGTGTCCCCAGGTGCCATCCTATATGAGAAGATTTGGCCCAGTTGGAAGCCCCATGCTCACCCTTCCCAGCCCAGGTATCCTGTCTCTCAGGGATGGGCAGAAAGGTAACACCACCTCACTCACTCAGGTGGACCTCTTTTTTTTTTTTTTAAAGATTTATTTATTTATTTATTTATTTATACAAGCACTGGGTACAGTCAGGGTGAGAGAATTCACCAGAGCCAGAGTGGGGAACAGAGCAGGCAGACTGACCAAATACATTGCTGAGGGGAGCAGTGGGCGCGGCAGGAGAGATCGGTTGCGCCATGTGGGACCCTTGCCTGTGGCCAGGGATCGAACAGGCACTGCAGAGGCTGCGGGCAGCTTCACAGCCCAGCGCTCAACCAATGTGCCACCAGGGGAGGCCCACATGTGGACCTCTTTTAGGTGAGGAGTCCCACAGGTGCAAACAGGTGTGCTCAAAAACAAAGGAAGTTCCTTGCAGTGAAATGTTGGGGGCTTAATAGAAGAGCCGCTGAGAAGTCCAGGCAGGTCATGGAAAGCCCAGGGGCTCTTAACTACCTGGGGCACCAGGACGTTGACCTCTGTCCCTCACGGATGTGCCTCTGTGCCCCAGGTGAGAGCGACGTCCTGCACTTCACCTCCACCAACACATGGAAGAACCGCATCATCATCACCTGGCACCGGTACCGGCCCCCGGACTACAGGGACCTCATCAGCTTCACCGTCTACTACAAGGAAGCGTGAGTGTCTTGAGTCTCTGCCCTCCCCGCTGTCAAGGTCCATCCATCACCATCACCATGGTGACAGCTACAAATGGGAAAGTGTTAGCTTGAGGCCTGGCTTTCCTCCTTGGGTAATTAGAGAGCTTTGATAAAATAAATCCAAAGGGAAAAGTTTGTTTTCTAGAGCATTAGTTCAGTCCGGATATTCATAGACCAGGATGGAGGGGTGATTGAAATAGTGTTTCAGCCTTGGCTTCTTCTGGAAGCCGCAGGGGACAGGATGCCCTCTGTGTCTTACATTTTTCCTGATTTTCCCCAAAAAAAGTCCCAGGCTTTCCTCTTGCCCTCAGGTGACACCAGGCAGCCCAGGCAGCCCAGACTTACCCTCCAGAGGGCAGGTCTTCTGGGTCCTGCTTCCTGTACACCTATGCCCAGGGATTTGGCTTCCCCAGAGCCATCCCTAATGGCAGCATTGGGTCCCTCCTGCTACTGGCGCAGGGGTCTTGCTGGGAGGGTCATAGCTTGCGGAAAAGCAGGGCTCAGGGGTGTCAGACACTCACTGTTCTTGTACCTCGGAGCCTGGTGTCACATGATGTCAACAGAGAGAAGGGTGCTGGTGTCTGTTCCAGGAGCCAGCGGCTCTCTAGCTCTCTCCCGGGACAGATACGGAATCCCTACCCACCCCATGTCTGTGCAGAATATTCTCTGTGACGGTCCTCCCTGCGCTTTGGACATGCTGGCTGGACATTTCACGAAGGAGTAGATGCTAGTTTCTGAGACAATCCAAAGACAAAATACTTGATTGTTGTACAAAACTTGAGCAACCAGAGTGGTTTGTGAGCATAGTAGATACTCAGAACTATGTTGTAGAAACCAGTTTTGTTTGTTCGGTAGCACGTCTTTTTTCTCCAAATGTTATCCTTTATCTTTACCTGATAAATGACTGCTTAGTTTTTCTTAATGGTTAAAAAAAAAAAGTCAAAGTTAGCAGAAAAAAAACTGCATTTGCAGGTATTTTTAAGGAGCAATCCCCATACCTCTAGAACAAACTCTTCCCGAGCCAGCAAATTCGGTCCCGTAGTATGTAACACTGGTAAAACCCAGAGTCTGCTGCTTCATTTTATTCTTCTATGAAAATCTAATGGACGATTTGTTTGATTTAGGACTCCCATTATAGAAAGTGGGACGTGCCAGGCCCTTGGGGAAGGTTTCTGAGAACTGTGATGTCCGAGCCTGGAAACATCCTCTGAGCTTTACCAATTGTCTTTCAGGCCCTTTAAAAACGTTACAGAATATGATGGGCAAGATGCCTGCGGCTCCAACAGCTGGAACATGGTGGACGTGGACCTCCCTCCCAACAAGGACATCGATCCCGGCATCCTGCTGCACGGGCTGAAGCCCTGGACGCAGTACGCTGTTTACGTCAAGGCCGTGACTCTGACCATGGTGGAGAATGACCACATCCGTGGGGCCAAGAGTGAAATCCTCTACATTCGCACCAATGCTTCAGGTAGCCAGCCACTCCCCCTGCCCGTGCCACCCCAGGCTTCTGCACGCGATCACTGTCCTTGCTTATAGAGGTAGTTGGAGAGCTAGCCCCACTTGTGCCTGTGGTCACTCTGTCCTGGACTGTCTACCCATGGATTCCAGCCTAGGTATAATAATAGATCTTGTTCTTATTCCCACCCCTAACACTATGCTCTTCTGGGCCATTTTCTGGACTTGGTACCATTTTTCATTATGTAACTGTCTGCTGTGGGCAGACAAGCCCAGGTCCCCCAGGTTGCTGGGTTGGTTTCATTGGAAGGCCCAGCCAGGAGATGGCTTTCTCTGGCTGCCCTTTCTGTTTATTTTGATAGCGGAACCTTCAGGAAACGAAACCACGCCAGTCTGTGTTCTGTGACCTCCCCTGGCTCTTTGGTTCTCTGTCTTCATTCTGCAGCCCCTCAGCTTCCAAGGGCAAACCTCAGATGTAGTGCGTTGTGGACATTCAAAGTATGCACTGACGAAGACGGTCCACCCCAACCTTTATCTTCATTGTCTAAAGCACCTCATTTGTCAGCTCCAGACCTGCAACTAATGGAAGCAAACATTTGTGTGTCTATCTCAAGTATATAAAATCCAGTTTAGAGCAACAAGACATGCATTATGTTTAGAGTCACCAGTAAACATTCTTTGATGAGACCTTTGTTAGTGTGGGTGGGCTGTCTGGGAACACCGATTAGTTAGCACAAAATAAACTTAACTGGCCAAGAGGAAGGGAGGGAGAAATGACAGTGGGGAAAACCCATACACCTGCTTCTTCCTTTTCTCCTGTCACTCACCCTCAAATGTTTACAGAAATACATGTGACACCGACATCCAGTCCTGGATGAGAGGGTGAGGGGATTATGTAGAGCAGAGACTCAAAGGCATCAGAGTAAGATGGGCATCTTAAAATTTGGAAGTGATTTATTACTAATTTGAGAAAAATAAGAATCTTTCCTCACAGTGACAAATTCTTAAGAAACTTATGTTCTTTCCTGAAAGGCCAACGTGAAATTGAGTTAGTTGACTCCTTTTCAGCCCCTGTCCTTATAGGTGGTAAGGGAGAATAATTTGTTCCGCTTTTTGGAGCCCCTATTATGAAATATCGAGGGGTAAGCTGTTTCTGAAATGGTTGTGCTTATGTATTCAATGGTTAGCTTTTCCCTGAATGAAGCTGGCAGTATTCCTAACTTCGCCCCAAAGTGATAATCTTTAGGGTATTCAGAACCTTCTCTATGGCATCATGGGCCATAAAGCACACAGACACTGTTCACCCCCTTCAGTTTTAAAACTTGACAGTCATGTTGCTTAATCAACATATAGGGTAGGGGTCTCTTACACTTTGGAAAACTCACTGAAATCGGTGCTTTCTTGTGACCCCAATAAGAAGATGATTTCAGGGGTCCTAGAGGCATTCGCCCTTACACACAGGACAGCTCCTGGCCTGGGCTTGGGGTTGTAAGGAGAACACGATCAAATGATTGTGTGTCTGTGTGTCTGAGTTTTCAGGCTGCTTTTCATCGTCGTGTCTCAGTCAGTCCACTGAAGCATGATTAAGGAGTTGGGGAATGTCCAGGCCCTTCACCTTGCTCTTTCCTCAGCTCTCTTACGTGTGTGCATGTGTCTGCACACACCCAACACACACACTGTCCCCTCTTCCACTTTACTCTTTCATTTGGACTTTTTGTCATTTTTATCAGCAGTTCAAAAATCTAGCATGAAATAAAGTCAGTCAGCGTCACCATTTGCTAAAACTGGAGGCGTCAAACATTTGGGAAGCAGCAGTTGTCCTAATGAGGAAAGCCTGGTGTTTGAATTAGCCGGAGACCCCGAGACGTCCGTCCATTCTGGCCCTGGAGTGCCCCTGCAGCCTTTCCTATTTGCAGCTCGGGAATGTTTGTTTTCACAGAGATTACCTGAGAACAGATATTACAAAGAGAAGTGCTGGATTTTAAATTAATACTATCTCCAAACAAGCTTCCATTTTGTATCAGTGTCTCCTTGGTGTCTGACAGCCTGGGCTCGTGCCGTCATCTGAAATGTCTTCTGTGCCCCTTTCCAGTGCCTTCCATCCCCCTGGATGTTCTTTCGGCATCAAACTCCTCTTCTCAGCTAATCGTGAAGTGGAACCCACCCTCCCTGCCCAACGGCAACCTGAGTTACTACATTGTGAGGTGGCAGCGGCAGCCGCAGGACAGCTACCTCTATCAGCACAACTACTGCTCCAAAGGTGAGGCTGGGAGCGGGGTCTGTACATGCCGCTGCCCGGCCCCAAGGTGACAGAGATCGGGTGGCGGGGAAGCCTTCCTTGGAAACAGCCGCGGCCTGGATTAGGGGTGCTGACAGCTAACGCTTTGCCCTCTCAAGCATGTAACTTGGCTTCATTTCCCCTCTCCTCGGTCTTCTCTCTTCCAAGCAGACAAAATCCCCATCAGGAAATACGCTGACGGCACCATAGATGTGGAGGAAGTGACAGAGAACCCCAAGACTGAAGTGTGTGGTGGAGAGAAAGGGCCTTGCTGTGCGTGCCCCAAGACTGAAGCCGAGAAGCAGGCAGAGAAGGAAGAGGCAGAATACCGCAAGGTCTTCGAGAACTTCCTGCACAACTCCATCTTTGTGCCCAGGTACCAGTGGCATCTGAACTGTCTCTAGGCTGGTGCTCCCGGGGCAGGTTCTGATCCTTTTCTCTCTACCTGGGCAGTTGATGGGTGGGTGGCCTCGGGGCCAGACCCAGCAGCCACCAAGACAACAACAGACGCAGTTAACAGTCAGGTGGAGTGAGACGAGACTTGTCTGTTTATTCTCCATCAAAGGCTGTGGCTACATTGCTGTCACTCATTAGGAAGGTGGTGACTAACTGTGATGGCCACGGAACTGTACACTTGACAGTAGTTAAAATGGAATTTTTTTTATAAGGTGGAAATTTATTTTTTTTTAAGATTTATTTATTTATATAAGAACTGGGGTACAGTTAGAGGCACGGGAGGGTGAGAGAATTTACCAGAGACAGTAGGGAACAGAACAGGCGGAAGGACCAAAGACACTGCTGAGGGGAGCAGCGGGTGACACAGGAGAGGTCTGCTGTGCCATGTGGGTATCTCCCTGGCCCGCTGGGAATCGAACCTGCGCTGCCGAGGCTGTGGACAGCTTCACAGACGCTCAACCCGCTGCGCCACTGGGGAGGCCCATAAAATGAATTTTTTTAATTAAAATTTTTTGTTTTATCACAAAAAATAAATAGTTTTCAAAAAAGTAAAGGAGAGCTCAGCAGAACAGCCCTATGATGTCTGGGAGAGGAAATAGAAATGAAGTGGAGGCCAAGGGTTCCCTTTACTTCCTGAGGGATTAGAGGGTGTAATTTGGGAACCACCTCAAGCCTGAAATCTGGGCAGAGGAGCTGGTTCAGCCCAGGAGGGCCCCTGTCCCCACATGCCTGTATCACTGGGACCATTCTGCCTGCTCCGCTCCCACCCTGAGGGGCACTAGAGGCCTGGGGTGTCTTTATCACATAGTTACTTTGCCCTGAATGGGTTTCTTAGGTTGTAACAACAAATGGCTTTTAAAGCCTTTTTTTTTTTTTTTTTTTTTAGCTGTCAAGTGACTCTCCTGATGTATGTGTAATAGTCAGAGATAGCCATCTTACTTGGAAAAACTCAATAAAATACCAAATAATGACCTTTTAATACGGAAAATGCTGTTTCCTTTTCAGAATGAAGCTCTTTGTTGCTTCATGATTTCTGTCTCTTCCCCCCAACTCCACCACCTGCCATGACGTTTTCTCTGATGGTAGATTACAGGGCTGGGGTTCACTTCTTAGTGCTTTCTGCATATCAGGTGTGGTTCTGAGAATTGGGAAGTTGAGGACTAGAAAAGAACACAAAGGTGTTTAAAACTAGAGTGACTGGGTGATTTCTCCAGCATCCTGATTAATGGTTACTTGGGGATTTGGTCCTCCTTTCTCAGACTTCTTTCCTTATCAACACGGCTCTTTCTGGCTGGGCCAGAGGAGGCCTCACTAGGGAACTCCCTGTAGACACAGAGGGTGAATTTAGAGTGTCCCAAACAGGTTGGGTGGGAATTGTCTGTTTATTCTCCATCAAAGGCTGTGGGTACATTGCTGCCTTGTCCCACTCACCTCCCAGAGTCCAGGTTGTGAGCCTAGGATTTGGAAAGGTTTTCCTGAAGGGCCCTTTGCTTTCAGTTTGTAATTACAGGATGATCCCCAGTGCCATTTTGTACACCCCAGCTGTGCCCTTGAGCTCAAGCAACAGGAAGGCAGACTTGTGTTCACCAGATATTATCGATTCATTGGGTGCATGTCCTTGAGTACAAATAAGTTCCCTCTCCGCCAGATCCGCTGAGGAATGCATGTCTCCATACCTGCCATCCTGATCTCTCTCTCTAGGACAAGTCTTCTCTCTTATCACAGAACATTAATAAATACCGGGGTTTGCCCGTGGTGCAGGGCCACAGTTGATGAGCACCTACATTTGTTGGTTTCCTGCATCCTACTGTGACTTAGATCTGATGGGCATATAATTTCCAATGGAGCTCAGGCCAAAGGAGAAAGGAAGTTCCTCTTTTATAATCAACTAAATTGTCCAAGGATGATTTGTATTCCTTTCAATTCATTCTAAGGACTGATTATTTGGGAGTTAAAACCAGCCAAGTCTGAGTCAGTCTGTTGTACATCATCCAGGTGCCCTGTTTTGAAGTAGGATGGAAGTTAGAGTCCGTCAATTGCTTTCTGGAGTTGATTTCGGGTGATAGACCTTCCACAGCCCCCTGCCGTTGTTTTTCAATTCCATCATTTGTTTAAAGTAACCGAAATGTGGGCAGCTATTGGAGTGGGAGGCGTTCTCATCAGAATAGGTGGTGTCGTGGGTGGCAGCCGGTGATCATATTTGCTCTGGGTCATACCATTTGGAAATGCAGCTGTTTACAAAGAATTTGGACATGCTGTTCTGCTTGCCCCATAACTTGTCTTTCTGCTCTTGTCCCATGTGGCCTCCCTCCCCCAGCCCCTGCCTTGGTGTTAGCGGTAACACCTCTGCAGTCTCAAACCAGCTTATTGAGTGACCCTAATGGTGTAATCACAGGGAGTGGGGTGGACTGTGGGAGGGGGTTGACAGTATGATTTTGCAGTGGATTAAACCTAAGAACTTCTCACAGGTGCAAGTGGGTGTTGTGTTGACCTTGTGTGTTACGTTGGTTTTGAAGAGAAGGCAGAAAATTAGTTCTGAAAGGTGTTGACAAACACGCCTTCCTAGCAATAAATGTGGTTTCTTGTGTCCTTCCCTCCTGGGAATGTGGGTGAACTTGCAGGGATGAGGACAGGGCATGATCAGCCTCATTTCTTAACCTCTCCTCCTCAGTATTGCGAAAGTGAATGCAGACGAGCCCTGAGCCCCAGGCCCTGCCTGTGACTCTGCCTGTGGAGTGAGCATACCTGTGCTCAGCATCCACATTTTGGCTGGGGCCAGGTGTGTCACTGAACCCAGGAGGTGACAGTGCTCTCTGCAGGGAATCCATGACCTGGGCAGATGCTCCCCAAGCCTCATGCTGGGCCTTCCTGGTTTTCCACTCCTGGGCAAGTAAGGCCCAGCAGGATGCCTGCTGAATATCTGGTGACCCATGAAGGCCCCCTGGGTGCCTCCCTGCTTGTGGGAATCTGCTTTCTCCCCCGTGTGAGGGCTGATGAACATTCCTGCTTTGTGGGCTTGGCCTCAAGTTTCCATTACCAGATGAGAATTGTCCCCCTTGCTTACCCCCTCCCCGCCTATTTGTGGGATGTGTGACGACACCCGAGAGCTTCAGTGGGGAGTGGACGGCACCTTCCCCTGCTGTCCTCTGCTGCTCACCCAGGGGTGGCCCTTTCTTTCTCTGGGTGCTCACAATCTGTTGCGTTGGTGCCTATAAATACTAGGAGCCTATTTTTAAGGCTCCTGGCGGGGAGCAAATAAACCCTTTTTTCTGTATCCCACAAAAGTAGCCATTGGAAATGTCACCCGCTTATCCACTGTCCTGTGGTTGCTGCTTAGTGCGGCTGGTAGGTCTGTCACCTTTGCTGCTCAGCCGTAGCTCTGCGGGCTGGATGGCACTCGCCTCTGGGACGCTGCCTCGCCAGCAGCGTGGGGGTGTTTGTTTGCTCCAGGTATAACTGAGTAACCATCCTGGGAGCCAAGGGGCAGTTTGTGTGCCGATTCTGAGGTTTGCAGAGTAGAGAAAGCAAAATAAATAACCAAGAGGGAAATCCCCATTTTAGTTGTTGAGTCTTATCCAGGGGGGCTGAATAGCTCCTTTGATTCCAAGCTTGAGCTTTTTCCTCTGCTTTCTGTTACTGTTGCCCAAGTCGTAAAGAGACAGAAGAAGGGGAAGCACTAACAAGCTGAGCTTCTCTCTTCCTTACAGACCTGAAAGGAAGCGGAGAGATGTCATGCAAGTCGCCAACACCACCATGTCCAGCCGAAGCCGGAACACCACGGCGGCGGACACCTACAACGTCACAGACCCGGAGGAGCTTGAGACTGAATACCCTTTCTTTGAGAGCAGAGTGGATAACAAGGAGAGAACTGTAATTTCTAACCTGCGACCTTTTACTCTGTACCGCATTGACATCCACAGCTGTAACCACGAGGCTGAGAAGCTGGGCTGCAGTGCCTCCAACTTTGTCTTTGCAAGAACCATGCCTGCAGGTATGGTGTGATCCAGCCTGCCCCACTGCTGCGTCACTCACAGCCTGATGGAGAATGTCATGATTTGTGGACATGGAGTCTGACCAGTAGGGTGATGACCTTAAGTCTCAGTCCTGGTATTATTAAACAGTGGAGATCATTTGTAGGCAGCATGGTAGACCCGCGCTCCCATCCCAACCTCTCTAGACAAGGGCTGGGAACTCAATTTGGGATCAACCACCCTCTTCAACTTGGGTCAGATTCCCTTTGTGCCCTCTGCCCCCATTTGTGTGCAGGTAAATTGCCCCGTCCATCTTGAGTTCTCAGAGATTCAGGGAGATCCCCAGGTAGCAGCTTTCATTCACGGTGAATCAAGGTCATCTCCTGGAATAGCCTTTTCCAGCTCGTTTGGCCTTCAGCTTTCCCAGGTCAAGGCTGCCTGTCACCCAGCAGTAGTGCCCCCATCTCTGGGAGTAGGCGAGCCACCCAGTGCTCTTCTGTTCAGGGAAAGAAGGTAGCAGAAAGACTGCTGAGATGGCTCCTGGGCATGGTTCTGGCGAGGACATGCACCCTGCCTCTTGATAGCGGCCAGGCTCCCGGGTCTCAGTTTCCTCTCCCTCCCTGGGGAGCTCTAGCCCAGCTGATGGCCCAGAGCCTTTCCCAGCTGTCACTGGCAGTGAGGCTTACTCACTGCCTGGCTCATTGCTTTGAGAAGCAAAGGAAGCAAGCAGGCCCCAACCCCCTCTGCTCACAGCGGGAAGAACTGGGGCAGTGGCGAGGCCAGCCTCTCGGCAGCCTGTGTCCTCATGCCTGTGTAGACACTGCACTGGCCGTGGGTGCAGGCTGGGACCTCGAAGGAGCCAGTTCTGGCCTGAAGTTCATGGTGCTATGGCTGCTGCTACTTGTGTTCCAGGGCCTCTCCTAGCTCCTTTTGCAAGTGGTGACAGCAGAACACCAGAAATAAGTTACTGCAGTTGGCAAGCTCTTCCTACTCTGCTTGAGAGCACATTTCTTTGTTGGGTTGGTGGGGGGAGGTAGCCATGGTGGCATCTTGAGACTCACAGGTCTTGGGTTGCTCCAATTGCAAAACCTCTGCTCTGTGTGTGTGTGTGTGTGTGTGTGTGTGACTGAGTGTGCGCACATGTACATGTGTGCATGCCTGCATGTGTGCATGTGCACAGCCAGTTCATGGGGAGTCTTCATGGTCCCTGGCCATCATCTTGCACACATGAATGGGGGTGGGGAGCTGGGGCTATTCTTAGATCAGCCCACTGTCTGCCTCCTTCCTCAAGTTCAACTTAATCGCTTGTTGAAATTGTCACACAGAGGGAGCAGATGACATTCCAGGACCAGTGACCTGGGAGCCGAAGCCTGAAAACTCCATCTTTTTAAAGTGGCCAGAACCTGAGAATCCCAATGGGTTGATTCTAATGTATGAAATAAAATATGGATCTCAAATCGAGGTAAGGTGTGGTAGGGTCTGGGTATGTTTCCATCACAGCTAATGCACGTGTTACCATATGACAGGTCACCTGCTGCTTACCTGGACTCGATGGTGGTCAGTGAGAACTGGGCCTTTCTCCCAGCTCCACACTCTGAGAAGCACCTGGAGCAGACAGGGAACTGGGCTGTCCTCACCCTCAAGACACAGTTGATCCTTGAACAGCACGGGTCAGAACTGCCAGGGTCCACTTCTACATGGACACGGCTCCCCTTTGACCGAGGTTGGCCACATGTACTGTGTGCTGACTCTAAGTGACACTCAGATTTTTGACAGCATAGGGGTCTGCACCCCTAACTCCCAAGTTGTTCAAGAGTGAAATGTATGTCTTTGCAGAAAGCAGCACAGACTAGATGGGCTCCTAGTAACCTTTGTTCCTTCTAGAGTTCTTTTTGATTACAAAGAGTCACTTGATTGCAGCTTGGGGGTACCTAAAGTCACAGAAGGATGACCGCTGGTTTTTTCTCTTCTTCCAAATCAGAATTACTGTTAAGTGGGAGGTGGGAGTTCAGGCAGCAAGAGAACTAACGCCTGCGCTTGGCCTCCCCCAGGATCAGCGGGAGTGTGTGTCCCGGCAGGAGTACAGGAAGTATGGAGGGGCCAGGCTGAACCGCCTCAACCCGGGGAACTACACGGCCCGGATCCAGGCTACCTCCCTCTCTGGGAATGGGTCATGGACAGATCCTGTGTTCTTCTACGTCCCTGCCAAACGTAAGGCTTGTCAAGGAGTCTCTGGAAACTGCCAGTGGCCTGGGCTGGGCCGGCATGGGGAAGCCTGGGTCTCCGTGGCACTCTGAGTTTCTACAGGAACAGAAGGCTTGTGCTTCTGCCAATGCCTGGTTGGGGGAACCAGCTTGGTCATGAACTCCCTGCCTCATTTAACAGGCAACACCGGGGTCCAAACCTGTCTTTGGGGAAGTCAGCAAGAGCCCTGGGCTCTGCACCTGGTTTCTGTCCAAAGTCCTTTTGCACGGCATTGGATGGCCATCCTGCCTGCTGCCTGGTCAGGGCATAAATTCCTTAAGGGTAACAGAAACTGGGGGAAACCCCTAGCCTTCTCCAGGCAGGCATCTCCACGATGACATTCCAGACAGAGATGGGCCCCACTTCACACATGCTGGTGAAACATACTCCAAAACTCACCATGCTCACTCCCAGCACAGAGGCTGGGTCATGGTGTGACTTGATGCTCAAGCCGTCAGCCAGGCAAGATTCTTAGAAAGTTGTTCTGTGCAAGAATTGCAGGTTTTAAAGCTGAGTTTTGTAAAATATATAAGCAGAACACAGGCATGCTAGGCTGGCTAAGAAAATTCTATGTCTTAATTGGTGATATAAATATTCCTTATTTCCATATTGAGTCTCTACAAATTTTGTATTAGAAGCCCAGGTTTTTAGATGATTTTTTTGTGCTACTAATGAATGGGACCAGACTTGGATAAGTGTTCCTGATCTACTCTCACACAAAGAGAACAGCCTTACCTTGCTTAGTGGGGCTACTTTTTGGGTCTAAGGGGGAGACCCCCTGCCTGCTCCTGGTGTCAGCATCCATGTGGCTCCTCTCTGGAGTCTCAGTTTAACTCAGGATTCAGACAATCCCACAGTCTGCCCCCTTATGGCCTAGTAGTGATAGTGGTGAAGATGTCAAAAGAAGGATGGAGGACAAAATTATACAGCATTTGCTGAGCCCGGCTCTCTGCCTAGGTCAGTGACCATTCATGGAAACAAATGCACTTACTAAATAAAATGAATCAAGATTCTAAAATGCAGATTTCAGGTTTTAGGGGTCAACACATGACTAGGGCGGATAATTCCATCAACTAAAATGCAGTGAGCCCTCCATCAATGTCATCCTAGGTTCTTGGAAACTGACTTTAAGCAAAATATCAAGTAGCAACAGAGGTCCTGGAATAAGTCACTTTGTTCGACCTCAGCCATGACTGTTGTGTTTTTCTCATCAACATTCTAAGGAAACCACGCGGTGGGTCAACTCACCCTCTCTTATCGTTTGGCCTTGTGCCCTTCACATTGGTCCTTGAACCCTTCCAGAGCCGTGGCTTGCTTCTCTTTGCGTCCACCCCTTAGGAACAGAGCCTAGGTTTGGGGGCCTGGCTGTGGTCTTTGAAACAGTAGCCTTGGCTTCTGGGGGTCAGTGCACTTGGCTCACCTTCAGAGCGGGGTGCGTTCTGCTCCTCCTCTACCACTGTTAACCCCACGAGCGCTGTGATGGAAGCTTTCCAGCCAGAGTTGGCTGCTGCACAGGGAACTGAGGTCTGCACGCCTGCTTTGCTATCGGGAAGTTTTTCCTTATGTCAGACAAGGCTCTCCTACTGCAGTTTAGTCTCATTTCCTCTTGTTTAATCCTCCGAGGAGAGGGAAGCTTTCTGGCGGCGGTGCTCTCTGAGGAAGCCTTCGTGTGCTTGAATACTATTAAATTACTCTTCAGACTTTTCTTCTCCAGACTAAATAATCTCAAGTCTTTGGCCTTTTATTGTAGCTCAGGCTCAGAGACCAGTTCTCTTAGCATTTAATCATTTTGTTCCTCTTCTCTGGATGTTTTCCAGTTTCTCCCTGTCCCTGTTGAAATGTGAAACTTGAAAAGAACCCAGTACAACCTGACCAGGAACATAAATGATATAAACACATGAAATAAGCCTCAGAGAGAAAAGAAAGCTCTTCCGGCTTCCCAAAGGCAAGGCCAGCTTGCCAGGATCTCCAAGAATTAGCAAAGGGAGGAGCTTGCATCTGTTTTTGAGAGCTATCTGATAAAATGGAACTAGCCTTACTAGTCCCTAAAGGGTAATCATAATATGACTTAAATATTGAGTTACTGTAAATTAATTGAAGTTAAACTAAAAATCATAGTAATTGCTCAAGTTATTAGTGGCAAAATCATCATTGATGGGTGATTTATAGTAGAAGTGCCATGGTCCCCAATGAGTTCCAAGCCCGTTTTCACATTGGCATTTTCATTTGGGTGTCCCTGAAGTACCTTAGATTCCTCAGGCCAAGATTCCAGTTGCTCCTCTCAGAATAGCTCTTCTTCCTTAGTTCCTGAGCTCAGTCAGTGGCCCCAGAATCCTTGCACAGCCTACACTGTGACCTCAGAGCCACCCCTCACCTTTCATTCTATCCAACCACCCATTTCTCATTCAACCCATGTCTCACTGCTTCAGCCTCTCAGACAGCTCTGGGATTGCCCTTGTTGCCCCCACCACTGCCTCAGGGAGCTTATTTCTGGGGAGAGTTTAAGTGGGGGGTGCAGGAAGCTGGGTTCCCTACTCGGCTCCAGGGCCTGTATGGCCCTGGGGGGACAGCTCATTTCTGTGAGTCCTCTGCATTTCTGGAAGAAGAGCCATGGTTTCTCCTTGAGGTCTGAGCTACAGAAGCTGTCCAGCTGCCCTCCATCACTCCCCAGCACAAGGACAATGACGAGACCTCACCTCCCTGCCCCCAGCCCTGCAGGCTGTCATGTGGCACTGCCAGCTCTTGGGTACTGGACTCTGATGCAGTCACTGTGGGACTTAAGAGACTCATGGCAACTCCAAATCTGCAGATGGTGTTCACAGCCCCGACTTCTCCCACTGTCATTTCCAAGCTGCCCCCTGCGCTTAGCCCCTGGACTCCCATCCCTTCCTGTCTGTGTCCTTGCCATACACTCAGTCCCTTTTCTGGTTGTCACTCGACCTCTGGACATACTGATTTCCGGCGTCCAGCAGACTCTTCAAGGGTGTGAATCAGCATCCCCAGCGCCATCCTGGCTTCTGTCTCAAGCACTGGGGCGTGGGTGAGCGGAGTGCGGAGTGGGGCTCTGGCTATAACCAGATTCTGATGTTTGGGAGAATTCAGAGCAACTGTGGCAAAGGATGCTACAGTTGTTTTTCTTTTGTTTTTTTAACTTAATTGCCTGTGAGGTTGTGTTTGGATAGAGGTCGCTATCACTTGAGCTCCGTGCTTAGCGGCTTTTGGGTCAATGACAAACCACGTCTACGATGGTGGCCTCAACGGCTGTGCCACCAGCCCAGTGTGTGGTGGCTCACCCCGGCGGCTCCTGCAGTCACCCTCTGTGACGTTCACGCAACAGTGAAGCCACCTAAGGCTGCGTTTCTCCAAGTGTTTCTCTGCTGTTAAGCAACACGTACCCGTGTGTTTCAGAATCTCCATTTTATTTAGCAACTGCATTTGTTTCCATGAATGGCCATCAAACTGCCTACAAAGATTATTTTATTTCAGTCCATCATTTGAGCTATTCAGAATACACTGTACTTCAAAAAAAAAAAAAAATAGAGTCTACCCCTCTGCCTGTGCTGATTTAATTTTATTTCCTATAACTCAGGGTGGGGTTTTTTGGGGTTTTTTTGCTGGAATTTCTGATACAGTTTGCTTTTGGGAATTACTAGCCTATGATGGGGCAGTAAAGGAATTTCCAGGGAAATATTTCTATTCGCCCTAAACATAAACAAATAAAGTGAGAAGATTGTTTACCTTGTGACATTTTATCGCTCCCCTTTGTTCCTGCAGCAACCTATGAAAATTTCATCCACCTGATCATCGCCCTGCCTGTGGCTGCCCTGCTGATCGTGGGAGGGCTGGTGATAATGTTGTACGTCTTCCACAGAAAAAGGTGAGTGACTCCCTGAAATGGTCAGATGCTTTGCACCTGAGCGGAGGTTATCTTTTTGAGGATTTTGTGGAAATATTTTACGGTTGGGGAAAAAGAACATTTTTTAATGATTTGATAATAACAAAAAAGGGGGGGAGCAGAGTGACTCATCCCTGCTCTGGTCACCCCACCACACACACTGCTGCTTATGCAGAGTTTATCCAAGATGATGGATAAACGTGGTCAAATCAGTCTTTTCCTTGATAGTGAAGTAAAGAAGCACACGTTTCTTAAAAAGCACACACCTGAGACCTTTGAAGAAGGTGAGCATGTGTCAGCAGGGGTGTGCTGGACCCCAGGCCTGGGGTGGGGGAAGCTGTCAAGGGGGTGAGGTTGCACCCTCTCTTTCTCTGCTGATGCTTATTGAAACTGACTAAATAAAACAGATAGGACAAAGATGAAAGTATCCCCAGAATTGTGTGGCGAGAGCTGTCCTTAACCTAAGTTTTCTCCTTTTCCACAGAAATAACAGCCGGCTGGGGAATGGAGTGCTGTATGCCTCTGTGAACCCAGAGTACTTCAGCGCGGCTGACGGTAAGCTTCTGTGCTAGGATTTGAGGTCCCTGTGACCTTGTCTTCATTAACGCTTCTGATTTACTTTTTTCAATCAGACCTTTTAGCAGGCCACTGAATATGTCAAAAATTCTGGACTCTAGGGGATGCCCCAAGGAAAAATAAGACTTCAGAGATGAATTTGGCCAGCACAGCAATCACTATATTTAATTGCTCGAGATTTTATGCTAGAATGAAGAAAGCTGTTTCCTAGTTGCATCTAGTTGGAGGGTCTGCTGCAGCTGACAAAACAATCCTGTTAAACTAGCTTCAGCTAGTTTCATATCACTGGTCATCAGGTCACTTCCAGTTTCCCTGCCTTTTTTTATCATGGGGTTTTTCTGTCATTCCCTCCTGACTGGGGTCATAGGATTTATATTCTCGTGGCCCATTCATGTCACCTTTGGTAAAAACAAACATGGGCCATTTGGAATTTTAAATGGCTGCGATCTGACTTAAAAGCTGGCTTGTACTCATGGTTATTTCTTTATTTCTCTTTTTGCTGTCTTAGCTTCCTCATGGTTTTCAAACCTTGAAAAGTCAGTCTGGGTGAGATGTTGAGTTTCAGGACTCAGCAGTGACATCTCATGAACCTGCGCTTTTCTTGTGTCTTAGCTCCTGAGGCGATTTTTTACGCCTGTCTCTGTAGATGAGGAAATAAAGCTCAGAGAACCCCACCTAGGTCCCTAATTGGGCATCTGTGTTATCAGAGTGACTCTACCCCAAATCTCTGGTTGATGTGACGCTGTCTCCATGTGACAGCCACGGGGCGGGCAGGCTAGCTGACCTACAGGATGAGCTGGTTGGGGTTTGTGGAATGAATAAAGCAAGGCATGAGAGGGGGTGGTCATGTTTAGGCAGTGCTTGTCTTCTTGCTTCAGAAGTGAAAGTAAGTTTGCAGTAGACATGAAATAAAGAGTGGTAATTATTCTAGCCAATTAGCCCAATCAAACAAGAAAACCTAAGAAATACTTTGACACCTTAAAAGCACCATGTAAATGTGTAGGGTTTCACTGTGGTTTCTTTAATAATTTCTACTTCAGTGATGTTTCTAATAAAGCCAGTCAAAAGCAACCTTCTTTGAATGGGGTCGGGTATAGGATAATGAGGCTATCATCCCTATTTACTAAGATCTCACATATTAAAATTTTAATAGGCACACATTCTCACTCACACTTGCACTCGTATGCCTCTGAATATGTATGCATGTGTGGAAGGCATGGACAACATTCTGGAAAGACATAGGAAATTTATAGTAGTGTTACTTATAGAGATCATTCTCTTAAAAAAAAAGAAAAACAACAGAAAAAGACAGCAAGGATATTCTGATATCTGTATAAGTAATTGCTTTATACAGACATTCTCTAGGTTTTAGTTAATACATATTTAATGCAGGGTTTTATTTTATTTTGCTTTTTCCATTATACTAGATCGTGCCAGGTGATCATCCAGGTGGAACCAATTTCAGTACCAGTTCTACCACATTCTTGTCAATATTTGATACTGACAGAATGTTTGATTTTGCCAGACTGGTGATATAAAGGAGAATTTCATTTCATTTGGTTTCAATTTGCATTTCCTTGTTGATAAGGAGTCTTCACACTCTTAATGAATGTGCAGGGAGTACAAGACCCTCTCCCCGCTCTGAAAGGCGGGAAAGGGCTTTCGGGGACTTGGCTCTGCCTGGAGTAAAGCCAGAAGCAGCACTGGCTGCGCTGACCGTGAAGTGTCCAGGCCTTTGAGCTGGGGGCATGAAGAAAAGACGACCAGGCTCTGGTGGACTTTATTCAAATTTTGTGTCTTTCCAGATGCTTCCCTAATATGTCTTGATTCGTTCTTAAAAAAAAAAAAACAGATGAAACAAAAAGCAAACCCCTTATCCCTCAGGCCAGCAGGTGGGAACAATGTCACCTCATTGGTTTCTTTGGCCTCTGACAACATCTGTAGTGGTTCTCTCTAGAATGACAATGCAGTTCAAAATGCTTACACAGCTTGTCCCTCCAGAAGCTAATCAGCGTGAAACCATTCTCCAGAGCACACTGCAGACACAACACCAGAAATCCTGATAATATTGTGCACATAAGCCCCAGCAGCCTAGTGGACGTAGGCCTGTGGGTGAAAGTCAAAGTTCTTGGGGTGAATTTAGAGAATTTAAAGAAAAGGATGGCAAATACTGACTTTAGTGGCTTCCCAAAGAGTGAAAGATGGGTGTTAACGCTCATTTTTATGGCATACTATGCAGTTCATTCTGATTAAGAGCAAGCATGGATTTTTCAGAGTGAAATAGAGACAGTGTCTCCATACTTTTTGTGGGGTTAGTAAAGAGTCTCATCTACTGGATTGTCTCACATACTTCCTCTCCTTGGCAAGCATCAGCCTCTTCTTCATGGCAATGGACCGTCTAGGCCACCTGGAGAGTGGACTTCATTTGTGAAATTCCTAAACACATATGTGCTAGAAAATGCCAAGATATTGATGAAGGGACATTCTAGAGTGGTTAATATAATCCAGACTGGATACTCCTCAGAGGTTGTACATTGGTGCTAGCTCCTGGGGCTCATTTATAGACAGCCTTTCGTGGAAGACATCCCTGGACTATAAATACTGGGGGTGCTGGCATACAGTGGTCAGCTCACTGCTTCTCTTGCATCTAGCGGCTGGCCCAGGGGATCGTCCAAGAGCGTAGAAGCGCTCACAGCTGCCTCCCCCACCCCCTGCCCTAGCTCTCCGCCCTGCATCCCTGAGTCAAGAACACCTCCTTCCTACCAGTTAGCGTGGGGTGGAGCCTGCAGCGCTTCCCGCCTCGGGCCAGGACTTTAGCACACAGCATTAGAAGGATTGAACTTTCTTTCAAAGCTCAGAGAATGTGTTGATTTTATTTTAGTTTTAACCAATCCGCCAGAGTTTCGGAAGGGATTCTCTGGGATTTTTTTTATTTACTTTCTTACCTCCCTCCTTCCTTTCCCTCTCTTTCTTCTTCTTTTCTGCCTAGAATTACTTATTTTTATAAAGCAGAATGAATCAGACCAGGAGCATAGGGCCAAGAGGAAATCATATTGGGGTGCAGTCCTTATCAACCCCATCACCCCATCCCTTCCCCCTGTGGTGGGAGACCCCTGAGTTCACAGAACCCAGGTCAAAGCCCTGGGAGGCCCCTCTGCTCACCAGCTCTTCCTCCACATGGGTCACCGCTGTGCACCCCCAGCACCAGAATGCACTTGCTTCTGTCCCTCATTAGACACCCCGAGATCTTTGGCAAAGCCAATGACCCTGGGTCTAGGCTGTGCCTGCCAGTAGAAAAGAGATGCCATTCCACAGGTGACTGTAAATTTTTAGTGGGCACATCAAAAAAGGTAAAAAGAACTAGGTGAAAATAATGTGTTTTATTTAACCCAATATACCCGAAGTCATCAGTTTTAAAATCTAGTCGGTATAAAAATTACTGAAATATGTCACTGTGGGTTTTTTGTGCGAAGCCTTTGAAATCTTGGTGTGCAGTTTATCCTTACAGCACATCTCACATTGGACTAATCACCCACCTACTCACTAATCACAGTGAGTAGGGATCAGCAAGCACAAGTCCAGCGTCTGTGAGGGAGAGGCCCACACCTCTTCTATATCCATTGTAGAAACAGGCCTCACCTGCACCATCACCCCCCACATCGCCTCTGACCCTCTTCCTGCTCCAGAATAAACACTCTTCCCTGTCCATACTGCTCTGCTCTTCTTCTGATTGGTACTTTTATCCATGGGCAAATTCAAACCTTCAAGAGTCCAGCTTGCCTGTTTCAGTTTCTCAGTCTCCTACAAGTTATTTTGCCCTTTTCAACAATGTGTTGTTTTAAGTGATTTTAAAAAGGGAAAGAAAAGGAACTTCTTTCTATCCTACCTGAGGCTGTTTTTTTAGATACCGTGATACCCTCGAATTCTCTAGGCGTCCTTGATGATCTGGCATCTCCGTCTCAGACCCTGCAGTTGTCTCACTCGAATCCACAGTGGACTGGAGCTTCTAGAGCCACCTCACTGCTCCCTGGGGTTTCTCCTGTGGACTTAGGAGGTGGCATCTTGTATCCCTGGGCCCATGTTTCCCCTGAGAACATCTCCCAGGAGCTCCCTGCCTCACCTGTTTTGGTTCTGGTTTCCTCCCCAGTGTACGTGCCCGATGAGTGGGAGGTGGCTCGTGAGAAGATCACGATGAGCCGAGAGCTGGGCCAGGGCTCCTTTGGGATGGTCTATGAAGGAGTGGCCAAGGGTGTGGTTAAAGACGAGCCGGAAACCAGGGTGGCCATCAAAACAGTGAACGAAGCCGCGAGCATGCGCGAGAGGATCGAGTTTCTCAACGAGGCTTCGGTGATGAAGGAGTTCAACTGCCACCACGTGGTAAGAGAAAGCTCCCAAGAGGCTCAAACCTGACCTAGGGAGAAAGAGAGCTTCCCTGGAGCCACCTGTGTATCAGTGTCCACTCACTGTTGTCTTTGGATTCCTGGGCCGGGGAAGATTCTGGATGCGATGCACATCCTGACCCCGGGAGCCCCTATAGTCCTTTCAGATGGGTCCAGCTCCTGGCCAGAAGGGGATGTGGCCAGCAGGCCCACCCTCACCCTCTGATCCCTGTCTTCCCTTCCTCCAGGTGCGGCTGCTGGGTGTGGTGTCCCAGGGCCAGCCAACGCTGGTCATCATGGAACTGATGACGCGGGGGGATCTCAAAAGCTATCTCCGGTCTCTGAGGCCAGAAATGGAGGTCAGTTTTGCTTTTAACCAACTTCACACACTATCTCTTCTCATTCCTTTAGAGCCTTCCTGCAGAAGATACTGTCTGTGAGTCCATCTACTCTCCAGCATTGCATGCTTCTTGCTGTGTGAGTGGCTCTAGGTCCTGTACATAAAAGCTTTTGCTGACCAGAGAGAGACCATGAGCTTCCGTGAGAGACACTTGCTGTTGCTCAATGCGCCTTTACTTACCCCCCCCCACTCTGTGCTTCTGTTACTGCATTCCCTCCACCCTCAGCTGGCAGCCCCACCACCCTCTCTCCCCACTGGCCACTACAGATCTGCCAGCACCTCCACACAGCTGTGCCCACCCCTGGCCAGTGGTGACCAGCTCCTCCTCCGAGTTCTCTCCTAGCTCAGACTTTTTCTTCTTGCTTCTGAGCATTTCTCTCCACTCCACTGTGTTCAGCTTTCATCCCGGGCACACCCGGGTCACGTTTGTGGCAGGCAGTCCTTTGATAAATGCTCATCCGGGTTCAATAGTAGGTTGACTGGCTTCTTGCCCTGGCAGCTGGGACTTGCTGGTGCGGTTTCCCTCTGCATTCCGGCCACGAGACATCCCCGCGTTAGCAGCCCCCGCCCCCCACACACACCCCCATACAGTCAGCATCATCTCCACTAGGAAGTTTGATCCAATTCTTGATCTGCATCCATGTGGTGGGGTTTGTTGTTGGTTTTTTTCCTCCAAAATTTTGTTGCTTTGACATTCTTTTTTTTTTTAATTATTTTTTTACTTTTTAAAAGATTTATTTTTATTTATTTATTTATTTATACAAGCACTGGGTACAGTCAGAAGCGCGGGAGGGTGAGAGGATTCACCAGAGCCACAGCGGAGAACAGAACAGGCAGACTGACGAAATACACTGCTGAGGGGAGCAGCGGGCGGCAGGAGAGGTCTGCGCGCCATGTGGGACCCTCCTCTGGTGGCCGGGGAGCAGCTGGGGATCGAACCGGCGCTGCAGAGGCTGCGGGCAGCTTCGCAACCCAGCGCTCAACCGATGCGCCACCAGGGAGGCCTCCATCCTTTTTTAAAAATATATGAGTTTGGAAGTAAAGATGCACACCTCACCATGTGTATCCACTTCGCTCCACTGAGCTCCAAGGCCAGTCCCCCATCACCTCTCCCTCCCTGTACCTTCCTTCCTCCCCCGACTCCAACCACCAGAGTTTTCAAGAGTCTAAGATTTATTTTTGCTGTGTTCTGCAAGTTTGTGTTCTTTGGTTATTTTTATCCCACAAATGAAAAAAAAATAATTGTCGTTCCCTTTGTGACTTTTTTTACTTAGCATAATCACCTCAAGATCCATCCCATAACAGTCCCCAAGTCATCATTTCATCTTTTTTACTAGCTGAGAAAAATTCCTTTGAGTAGCTAGGCCACAAGGTCTTCATTCAGTTGTCAGTCGACAGGCACGTGAGTGGTTTCCATATCTTGGCTAGCGTGGCTCATGCTGCCGTGAAGCCGGGAAGGCACACATCTTTCCCAATTCTGTTTTCATATTCTTGGGAGAAATGCCTGAGAGGGTCTTGCTGGATCCTGTGGTACTTCTCTGTACCATTTTGCACCGAGTCCTTGCTGACCTACACTCCCACCAGCAGTGATGGGTGTTCCTTTTCCTCCACACCCTCGCCAGGCCTTGTTTCTAGCCTTTGATGTGGGCGTTCTTCCAAGAGTGAGAGCCTCATTGTGACCGTAACCAGCCTTCCTTCATAGTAAGTGACTCCTCCTTGAAGAATGTCAATGTAGGTCTTTTGCCCATTTTTTGATTGCGTTGTTAGTCGTTTTGGTGTTTGCACGGGTGAGTGACAGTTGCCTCAACTGCACCATCTTTGCTTAATCCGGCAAAAAATGCTGGTTTGTATTTACAAGCTTCAAACTCCAAACCTGCCAAGGTCCTGTGTGGTTTCTCGTTAGTCACCTTGGTATCACTTGCCTGTGGCGTGAACCCACCAGTCAGCTTCGTAGCCTTGGAGCCAAGACATTTAAGTGAGTAATTCTAAGAATGAAATGGTAAATAAATGCTTAGAAATAAAACCGGCACCATCCGCCTTTCATCTCGCTGCCTGGGTGGGTCCTCACCCTCATCCTGACTTGGCTGTGGCTTGAGTGAGCCGGGTGTCTACTTGTCTCCCCTGTGACCTTTCCCAGAATTTCTGCAGCTTTTCCTTCTTTTAACCTGCACCTTAATCACCTCGCCAGTACCGGTTGCTCAGTTTCAGTTCTGAGCACCTTTCCCTGAGCCACTTTGTAATTAACACCCAAACCAGCAGGAAGGAGAGCGGCTTCGTCAGATGGTGGCTGGGTATATTCCTGAGCAGCACCTTTTGAGGCATCTCAAGAAAACCCCAAAAAAAAGGTTAAACTCTCAGCCCCCCAGTTTCAGGCACAAAAGAAAAAAAAGCAGAACATGTTGTCTTGGTTCTGGCTGCTCTGGCTCTGTGCAGCCCCCCAGTGTTTCAGGCCTCGGGCCTCAGTTTCCCCTTGTGTAGGATAAGATGATGACTTGTCAGAGTGAGACCTTGGAACTCAGCTCAGGTGTAAGCATGTGATCTTGTCCACGGTTTCAGTCTATTCTTCTGGCTGCCCTGCCCCCAGTCATGATTTGCCCACTACCGTGTGGACTGCAGGTGCTGGTGTGTGCGAGTTAGGTACTTTGCTCTTGCGTGTCTGCGAATCAGCCGTCCAGCACCGTGAATGTTGGCCTCCTCCTTCAGTATTTAAAATCAGGTCCCTTTCATTGATTCTGCTTTTCTTTTGTTTCATTTTTAATTTGCTTTTTCAATTGAGGTAACACTAAGATTCCCCCCATCGGGCAGCACCACCATAGTGCCCCCATGGTAAGCCACTATGCTCCCTGTCCTGTTCTCACTCCTACCCCTCCCCACAATTCTGATTTTCTTGTTGCTTATGAAAAACCACTTTCAAGTCAGCACCATAACGCCCGACAATTTAAGGACCGTGAGCACGCGCTTCACATTTCACCTGCAGGGGTCCCCATCTTCCATGCAGGCAGAGAGCCCTGGAGAGGTGAGAAGTACTGAGGGAAGAAAGGTTCTAAAGGGGAATCCTTAGACTACTTAGTGATAATATTTTCAATCGGCAGACACACTCTCCATTCTCTCTTTGGGGTTCACATGTACGTCGAGTGTCAGGGAACCGGCCTGCAAGTATGTGGAGACTGATTCCACCGCTTCTAGAAGCCAGTTTTCAGCAGACGCAGCTCCTCACTGAGTGAATTCTGCATCTGTGGGCCTGGACCACATTCAGGCATCAGGCACCATCCATGTGGGGTCTCAGATCATTCTGCGGTTACCCCACTTTGAGCCCATGTGCAGGAGCCCAGGCATCTGATCCCAGAGCCCAGACCTCCCCTTCCTGGGGTTCAAGGGGTCTGAGCCAGGAAGGTGGCCCGTGGGTGCTGTCAGAGCAGAATGGCTTGGCAGCATTGTCAAAGGTGCTCTGGAGTCAGGGATGCTGGGTAAATTCTGCCCTCTAGTGCGATCAAGAGTGGGTTAGCCCCTGAGCTGCAGAATGCTCACTGGGTTTTCATTTTTAATTTTAAGATGCAGACTTGGACACATGTTTTATATAAAACCTTTTCCTAAATGGCTTTTTTCTTTGTGGGAATGTCTTTTCTGTGCCAGAGCCAGTTATGTTGGCCTCCTCTGCAAAGAGGAGAAGCTTCTCCAGCAACTTTCAGTGCTTCAGGTGGGTCCTTCTCCAGAATCAGCTGCAGCTGGACTTAAATTGTCAAGGGCATGTTTTCCTCGTTGCCCACAGAAAGCAAAATACAAGGCATATCATGTTAGAAAATGAAAAAAATTCCTTTTTCTTGATTTTTACTTTTGTGCTTCAGAAGAAAGTGAAAGAAGATGACAATCATTAGATCATTTGTGACCAGGCTTAATAGCGATACAATAGACAGGACCCAATGGGGAGACACTGCTTATTCCCTTACAGCTTTTGTGATGCTCCCTCTCTCCTACCTGCACTGTGATAATAGCATTAAAAACACACACACACTAGTAGAAACTTGTGAAAACAAGAACTCTTAATATGAAAAATCACTAGTTTCACTTTTAATAATTTTTTCCCCACCCGAAGAGGAAATGCCAGCCCCCGTGGTGCTGACGGGTGTCTGTCCCACAGGGCAGTGTGATGTGGCCGGTGAGCCAGACCAGGGCTCCCCACCACACAGTGCTCCGGTCGCCATGATAACATGTTCCTTCGAAACATGTCCCAGTTTCTTAGCAGGATGAACCAGGACTGAACCAAGGTTGGGTTTACCGACCCTGAGAGAACGTGGGGTGAAACAGTTCTGAAATGCTCACATGACTTTCATAATTTCCACCAGAATAATCCAGTGCTCGCACCCCCAAGCCTGAGCAAGATGATCCAGATGGCCGGAGAGATCGCAGATGGCATGGCGTACCTCAACGCCAACAAGTTCGTCCACAGGGACCTCGCTGCCCGGAACTGCATGGTGGCCGAAGATTTCACAGTCAAAATCGGAGGTGTGTCCTTCGCTTTCCAGATCTGGGCAGGAACGAAGCTCTCAGGCTGGGGTCGGGGTTGTCACGAAGTGTTCAGTGTCCACAGGGCAGCGTTGGCATTAGCCTGCCCGTGATGCATTGGGCTGGAGGGGTCTGGACTTGCTTTGTCCCCTTCTCTCTGGGGACCCAGACTCTCTGCCAAACAGGGGGGCTGACTTAAATCTAGGTTCGCGTGCAAACAGATGAAAGACTGGGGCAAATACCTTAAGTTCCATGAGCCTTGATTTCGCCACCTTGGACATGGGGATGATGGCACTACAGACCCAGGAGACGGGGGGCAGGACTCGGTGTGGGGAGCCCCCACCCCCCCAGTACACCCTGCCAGGACAGTCAGTGACATTTCCTGAGGTCCTTGATGTCCTTGTGCCCCCCCACACCCCCAAACTGGCAGAGACCCTCTTCCCTGCTGGCCCCCACAGCCTCCGAGCTGGTTTTGTGCCATTGGAAGGCCCATCAGCCAGCATCGTGTTTGCTGTTTAACCGTGTGGCTTATTTAGAGTGACATTTTCTTGGTAATGGAGGTTTTTCTTTCCTAAAATTTGTTATGTGTTTAGGAGGAAATCACTTGGTTCTTTTTCAGTTCTATTTTTCCCCCCTTGTAGTGCAGTCCTTTCATTTGCATGCCACTGGCTTAATTCACAAATAAGACTTTCACACTCTATTTTTATTCTTCACCAGGGTCCAAAAATGTTTTTCCAATCCCCAGTGACTCATGGATTGCAGAGACAATTTGGGGGTCCTTGCACAGCACAAGCTGGCTGTGCTGGGGAACGGCCCGGGAGCTCTTTGCTCTCTCTCTCTGCTTTGTGGCTTCCCTCTTGGTGGCAGAGTCAGAGACATGAATGAACATTTTCAAAAAGACAGCAGCCCTTTCTCCTGGGGAGGAGAATGGAAAAGTAAGAAAAGGTCGTGTGATTGAGTGGAAAATCAAAATCTGACAAAGAAGCAATAATTTTGGATTTTAAAGCAAGCCTGCCATCAAACATAATTACGTGACATCTTCTAGAGACATGGAAAAATGGAAGAAATTTTCAAAAACAAGTGGGAGTATTATGTTGAAAAACATTATTGAGTAATAGCTTCAGGGGCCTCGTAAATAGTGTCTCTGCTTACCCTGAGCTTTTCTCCTGGTGAATTGCTACTCTCAATATTTTTCCCCTTATTAGGCGATGAAACCACTTTCTCCCCTCTGGCGGTGGGGCCCTGGACCAAGTAAATAGGAACTAACAGGCTCCTGTTTATTTCATCAGGTTTCAAAACCAAGTATAAATGATCGTGGGTCTATGAAGCACCAATTTCCTGGATAAATTGTGGGACTCGACAGTTTGTAAACTGCTTCTCATTTTAAATGCTGTGAGAGAATTAGCTTCTTTTTTTTTTTTTTTTTAGTTTAACCTATAAAGTATCTTTTTAACATTTTTTATCATTTTTTTATTTTTTACATCATTGTTCATTTTTAAACAATATTTGCTTTCCCCCACCCCCTCAGGTGTAGTCCCCATAGAGTTTCCTTCCCCAGTGCACCCGTGCACCATCACCTCAGTCCCCTGTGCTCCTCCCTCCCTCCCTCTGATCTCTCTCCCTCCTCCTCAGAGAATTAGCTTTTTAAAAGAAGCAACTTTGTTTTTTTTTTTGGTTTTTTTTAAAGATTTATTTATTTAGGCTTATAAGAACTGGGGTACAGGCCAGAGGTGTGGGGGGTGAGAGGATTCACCAGAGACAGAGCGGGGAACAGAACAGGCAGACTGACGAAATACACTGCTGAGTGGAGTAGCAGGCGAGACAGGAGAGGTCTGCTGTGTGATGTGGGTATCTCTCTGACTGGGGATCAAACTCGTGCTGCAGTGGCTGCACATAGCTTCATAGTGCTGCGTCTTAACCCCTTGAGCCACCAGGGAGGCTCAAAAGAAGCAGCTTTGAAAAGGACGTGCAAGCAGAGATTTCTTAGTCTTTGCTGGGCCGTTGGCTCATCTCAGTCGGCTCTCCCTGTTTTTCTAACTTTGAAAGTTTGCAGACTCTGATAGCAGCCTCCTGAGGGTCTGTCCATGCTCTGTCCTGAGAGCAGTTCCCACGGCCTAACTCATGTGCCTTCTCTCCCCCTTCCAGACTTCGGTATGACGAGAGACATCTATGAGACAGACTATTACCGGAAAGGAGGGAAAGGATTACTGCCCGTGCGCTGGATGTCTCCTGAGTCCCTCAAGGATGGAGTCTTCACCACTCATTCTGATGTCTGGTATGAGAGACTGCCCCTCTAAGGCCAGCCCGGACCTCGGCCCCCACCAGCCCCACTGGCTCAGTCTCCAGAGCTTTCTTTCGTTCCTGTCATCCGTCCACTGTTAGCCCCATCCCAGCCTTGGCTGACATTACGTGAGACACATCCCAGCTTTGACGCTCTGCTCCATCAGTGACTGTCTTAAGATGGCAGGGCAGCTGTGGGACTCCAGAATTTGCTAGACCCACTTTTCTTTTACCCCTTAGCCACTCACTGCGTGGCTCAATGTCCTCGAGACAGCACCAGCTCACCTCCCAGAGCTGGGACGTGCCAGGAAACATCACCTCTCAGACTCTGCCCTGCCTGTCTGTGCTGTCTTTCTCTTTTGCAGTAAATTAATGCAAGGTGTCTGTGTGGCCTCCTCACCTAACTGAGCTTTCATAGCAAACCTTGCTTTAATTAGGCCCGAAGTGTATGAGTCTTAGGTGTTTGCTGTTTTTATGCTCTGCTGAGTGACGGTGCTGGGTCCCATCTGCTGCCTGTCCTCACGCAGTGGATGTCCATCCTTGTTGACCCAGGCAAGGTATGGAGCAAAATCTCCCTTACCAATAAAAGTGTCTTGGGGTAGAAAGCTCATAGGCTGAGGCATGCAGAGAATTCAGAAAACAATAGTGTTGTTTACTGCGGTTCCTCAGCAACACTGTGGAGAGGCGGTCAGGTTCCCAAATACAACTGAGGTTCTTGGCAGGCGTTGGCCCTGGCATGAGAACGGGCCCTTCTAGAACGTCAGCTCGATTTTTGGCTGTCCTTTTGGGAGATCCCATGGCTGGTGTGTTACAGAAATGGTAGTTGTTTACTCCAAGTGTCTGGATGACCACAGAGAGGAGTGATTTCAGTAGTGACCAACATCATTTTTTTTAGCCTCATGAACCCTTCACAGTTCAGCGGCCTTAATCTTCTTTGGAAGACAGGTGCAAATTGGAAATAGCATTTGAATATGACCCAGCAAAGCTTGAGTGCTTCTGGAGCTCAAGTATGAGCTCTGTTTTGCAAATCAGCTCATCCAGGATGGTTATCTCTACTGTCAAATCAAAGTGCTTGACACCACCTTTAGTCATGGAAGTGCTAGGGAGAAAGCAGGCCTGGGCTCATGTATGCATCTGTTTATTCTAGGTTCCATGCCTCCAAGAGCTTTGAGGTCAGCCTAGGTAGAATAAAATAGAAAACCCCAAATGTCAGGGAAGACAGGCAGAGTAGGAAGAGAACACAAGAGTTGTTAAAATCAAATTCTGATTAGCAATTATGGTAAGAGGTGGTAACTCAGGAGACATTGAAGGTGTTCAGTGCCAATTTGGCCCCACTTGATGACTTTAACCATTGTGAACCAATAAGAGATACTATATATAAACAGAATAGGCATTGGTGTTCAGTCACTGTTCAGGCCCTGAAGTGCTTCAATTTTTAAAAAACAGCCTTTGAGGGTAAAAATGCAGGTTATATAGGACAGGGCATGGGAGAATGTGGAAGGTTTCTGCCATCCAAGCTTAAACTGAAAGTTGTCCCTCTTAAAGGAATGGAGGTCATTTTAGGTTGTATTCAATATCACACATCACCATTCCTAAAGAGTTAAATCTAGAAAGAAATACAATGCTGTTTTAATTTGTCTGACTTTGTAGCAGAGCCCAGAATCTTGGGATTGCAAGGGTCTCTGGGGGCAGGCCCAGTCCCCAAGTCCATCCAGTGTCTGTGACAGCTGGTCTTGGAGCTTTGCACAGACATTTCCCAGGACTGCGGGTTTCCTCTGGCAAAGTCAGACCATCCTCATTCTTTGTAGGTTTTTCTCAAGCTCTGCTCATGTCAGCCTAGGGTCTCCCCATTGGCCCTTCTCTGTGTAGCAGAAGCCACACGCTGCTCTGTTTTTGAAAAGGCAGGCCTTGGGGTCATGAGGGAGTGGCCTCTTTTCTCCAGTTGAGCACCTTCAGATTGTCCTGCTGTCCTTCAAGACTATTCCAGACCTGGGGCTCATGCTTCTTCTTCCTGAGGCTTCCTGTCGCACTGTGTCCCTGGCAAATTGCTCACTTGGGTTAGAAGATGCCAGGGTGTCCTCCAGGCATGAGTCAATGCTGACGGGCCTTGAGGAGGGTTTCCTGCCAGTGGAAATGCTGCAGGAAGCCGTAGCATACAAAGCGCTTGCTGCACGTAGAGGCCGGCGGGATACACTTGAGGGAACCAGGCTGAGAGATGGAGTAAGGCCTCACATGGGGCATCAGGGTCTTAGGACCAGTTCTCAGTCTCTGCAAAAACTCTGGCCTATTGGCCAGAATGCAGGCCACCCTGAGAAAGATGCTATTGTCCAAGAGGAGGCAAGTTCTTGTCGGCGAGGCAGGGAGACCATCCGCATGCTGGAAGTGCTGCCGGCAGGGGAGGACAGAGAAGGCCAGACCTTCCGAGAAATCTGCCCTGAGCCGCAGGGGTGGCACCCCGGACAGTGAGGAAAGGGCTGCTCAGGTGGGACAGGATATCACCAGCAGTGACTCCAGAAGAAGAGCAGGGTTGGAGGCCAAGTTCAGTTGGAATTTTGGATGGCCAAGTCCCCAGGAGTCAGAAATAGAGCCGTCGGGGCCGAAAGGGTCAGCTTGGGAGCCTCCCAGCAAGAATTGGCTACTTGAAGGCAGCTGAGACAGCCAGCCAAGGCTGTGGGGCAAGAAAAGTGGGCCCAGTTTCAGATGATTCGCGAGCCAGGCCTGCGGTCAGGAAAACAGCAATCTGGTCATCTGGTCATCTCTTAGCCCGTACCACACCTCAGACCTGACGGCCACTTGTGCAAACTGGCGGGTTCCCGAATATGGACACCGCTAAAGGGCGGTGGAGGGGGTTGGGGGGAGAATCCCATTGCCCTTGGCCCAGGCCTTTGAATGACGTGCTTTGGCTTCTGGGTCTTTGGCTTTTCTAGATCTCTTGCACAATACAAAGAAATATCAATATTCTTATTTCCGGCAGTTAAGAACCTTGGGTGGGTCAGTCCTCTGCTAAGATTCTATTTATGTCTAACATCTGCTTTTAGTATCAAGTTGTACAAAACCCTTTTGTTCATGGCAAATGGCTGAAGCAGTGAATGAAATGGTCCAACACAGTCAGAGGCCCTCCCAGCTCAGGATCCCTGCCAGGATCCCAAGAGCTCTCTGTGGGGAGTGTCCCGTCCCAGGGTTGTGGGTGTGTTCCTGGGCACCCCTGGCCGGGACATCCTTCAAGAGCCCCAGGCTGCTGGCTGCTCTGCAGCCTGCTTATGACACCAACCAGATGCAAAGGCAGATGAATCACGGAGAACTTGTGGAGGACTGTGCTAAGAAGGCCACTTCCTTTGCAGACCACAGCTGGTCTTTTATAATGTTATCACTAAAGTTCTGTATTATCTGTTTTAATTTGCTGGCCAGTAGTTAGATCTTCCAACCCACAGGCAAAACTGCACACCAGATGCAATTGCTCCCTGCCTGCCTGACTGTGCCTTTATTCCTCAGCTGAACTCTGCACTTGAGAATTCTTGGTTGTCCACAACACTGAGCCCCCCTCCCCAGCCACTGCTGCCCTCCTCCAAACCTCAGTGGGGACACTGAGGCTTCACAGGCCAGCAACTCCACAGCACTGGGAGCTGGGCCCTCCCTGGCCACAGAATGCGACACACCTCCCTGTAGAGCATTAAAACCCTGCAAGGCTGAGAGCCACATCCCAGACCCATGACATCAGAACTGGGGTCAGGTCCTGGTCTCCCTGTTTTTAAAACTCACCTGTGGAGCCTACTCTGCTGCAGCGTCCAGAGGCAGTTGCCCCCGCCCCTAATTGTGGCCACCACATCACTCTCCCAGCCAAACCTGGGGATCTGTGTTCTGTTCTTAGAACCCAGAGGTCTGGGCGATACTGCCCTGCTGGGAGATGCCTGGGACTAGCCCCCTAAATTCAGTTGCCCGGTCTGCGGTGCAGTCAGAAACCAGGTGCTTCCTAGCTCTCAGTGGTGCCCAGAAACTCCCTGCATTCGCCACCCAGGCTGTGTGGCCGGGGCTGTGTTTACTCTGCAGGAAGCATCAGAGATCTCGCATGAGGTCAGATGCTCCGTCTGCCTAAGAGCTGCAGAAAAAGGCCAGAAAGGAGAGGGCATTACCACCGTGCCCCGCCCCTTCCCAGGCCTCATGCTTCTTTTCTCCCCATAGGTCCTTTGGGGTCGTCCTCTGGGAGATCGCCACACTGGCCGAGCAGCCGTACCAGGGCTTGTCCAACGAGCAGGTCCTTCGTTTCGTCATGGAGGGCGGCCTTCTGGACAAGCCGGACAACTGCCCCGACATGCTGTACGTATCTCCTGGGCCCTGCAGCCACCCTCTGCTCCCCCTCCCTTTTCCTGGAACCCATGGGATTAGTGGTTCTGGGAACTGGTGTCCTTGGTCCAGCAGCAGTGGGCACTTTGGAGGAGAGTTTTCCTTGATGGATGGAACCCAGGCCTTTGCGCAGATAGCTTCATCCCACCCCTTTTGGTTGTCCTTTTGGTTCTGATTTGCGATTTGCGCTGTGGTTTCTCTGAGATGACTATGTGAGGGAGTTGACCAGAGCACCCTTCACGCATCTTCCCCATGCAAGGTGGTTTTTGAAAAATGCATCATGACAGGAGTGGTCAACCAAGCTCAAAGGCTGCCAGCCTTCGAGGAATGTGCACACAGGTGGTGGTCAGGGCCCAGCAGGCACTGCACGGGGCCTCATCCCATGGGCAGTTCCAGCACGCTGCTGCCTCAGTGGTGTCCCTGTCAGGTAGGTGCTAGGGAGCGTGGCCCTACAGCCGCGAAAGCTTCAGGCTGGTCTCACAGTGTCTACAGAATCCAGACATGCGTGTGCCTCTGCTACGTCTCAGGAGGCTGGAGTCAGCAGAGTCTCAGGGCCTCTTCAGGCCCTTGCAGGTCATTGAGGACTCAGCCCATGGCTGTGGCACAGAGACTCCCTGTTCTTACCACCTGTTGCCCCAGGCCCCTCCCTGCAGGGAGCTTGCTTATTGAAGGGCAGCAAGGTCCCCCATCTCTTTGACCTAATGAAGTCAGTCACCCAGGATAATCTCCCTTTTGATGAACTCAGAGTCAACTGATTAGAACCCTAATGAAAGAGGTGAAATCCTATCATTTTCACAAGCCCCACTCACACTCCAGTGAGGGGCTTCCACCAGGGAAGTTGTCTTGGGGACCGTCTTAGAATCAGATGGGGAAGTGGGAAACTTTGTCCTAACATCAAACCAAAGCTCTGGTTTTTTCTGAGGCACTTTGAGTGTCCCTACCATGACTGACTCCGGAAGGCCATGAGGAGGTGACAGCTTGGCCTCTTTAGCTGCTCCTTCTGAACGTTTGTCCTGCCAGAGCCTGCTCTATGCCGTAGACAGCTTGCAAGGATGTAAGAAGAGGGCCAGAGGCCACCTGGGGAAGGCAGCCTCCTTTCATCAACTTTATGGGGTGGGAGTGCTGGCCGATCCACCGAGGATGGTCTAGACCAGGAAACCTGTGTGTCCCCTGGACTTTGGGGTATATGGCAGGGCCCCCAGTGACAGACAGTTCTACTTCTCAAGGGGCAGAGCAGTGGACAGGAGGGCTCTGGATTTCCTGGGTCCCTCATTGAAAAACTTGGCCAGTACAACCTCTTCAGACCCCAGGATCCAAAGGTGAAAAAGAATGAAAAGATTACTGAGTGCATTTTCCTGCCCGTCATGAAATTTCTCCCTTCCCCACCTGTAGTAGGGTTTTTGCTTGCAGTTTATTTTTATCTCAAACCTAACTGTTGAAAACAGCAAGCATTTATCACCTCATGCAGTTCCTGAAGGGCCGGGATGAGAGCTGCCTCACTGCACCGCTCTGGTTCAGAGTCTCTCTGAGGCTGGCAGCTGGGCTCATCCGAAGGCCTGATCAGGGCTGGGCTCTGCGTCCAGGCTGAGCATCATGTGATGCCTTAGTTTCTCCATGACGCTGCTCCCCTGTCCTTGTGGCATACTCAGCAACCTCTAAAAGGCCAGGTAGTAAATGCCATCAGCTCTGTGGGAACCCTGTGACCGCCATTGCAACACCTGTACGGTCACAGGACAAAATATAGTCACAGGTGCCATATCCACGAGCTCATCTCTGCACCAAGAAAGTATTTTTTGGAGGGGGGGGCAGAAATTTGAATTGCACATAAGGTACATGTCACAAAATGCCATTTGATTTCTTTCCCCAACCGTTCACAAATATAAAACCATCTTGGGATGATCGGCCTCACCCAGTCGGACAGAAGCCAGGTTTGGCCCCATGGCCGTAGCAGGTTGACCTCCCTGGGGATAAATAGCCCAGAGCAGAGCCGACACCGCTGTGTCCTGGCCTCATCTCAGAAGACTCACTCCACAGCTCCCACATTTGGGTTTCCCGTCCACATGGAGCAGAACCCAGGGAGCTGCGGGGGGCTGGCCTGCGTACCCCTCCAGGCCAGTTCCTGCCGGCTGCTGTGCTCCTCTTGCATCACCTGGCCGCTGCGTTGCTACCAGCCCATTGTAGGGAAAATCTTCCCCAGAGCCAGAACCGAAGTACTAAAGTTTGAGGAGTGATGGCCACGACCAAATTAGCATAAAATTGTGCAATGCCAGCAAAGAGGCTAATGCTGGAGTTGGCGGTGCTTGAGCAAACTTAGAAACAGTCTGAGAAAGCAGGTGGTGGTTTTGTTTATGTGGTTTTGGGGCGGTGGGAGAAGAGGATTGTTTTTGTGCTTTCTCTGACTCGGGTACGGCTGGTCTTGGAGAAACTCGCGGGCCTGATCCAGGTGACTGTGTTTTAGTATTAATTGAATATGCCTGGGAAGTAGCCCCCCGCCATGGGAAAGGCCGGGTACTTCCTGTTCCCAGCATAGGGTGACAAGGAAACTCACAAGGAGTGGTCACTCGCGGATATTAAATGTTTAATCCAGGAGGCATTTCTGCTTGGCCATCCAGAACCCCCCTGGCGAATTTTTCTCCCCCTGATGAAAAGACCAGAAAGAAAGGAGGCTAGTTGCTTGCAAAGGGAGTGTCTGTGTTGTCCTTCTGAATTCATTGATGAGCTTTGGTGAGGGCGAAGTGTTCTGGGAAAGGGGTGCTTTAGTTACAAGAAATTAAAGAATGGCCCATTTTTCGCAGAGGAGAGGAAAGTTACCCTACCCTTGAGAGCTGCCCGACAGCCTTGCCAGGCCTCCACATGGGAGAGAAGCCACTTCAGTCCTGTGCTTCCCAAGGTCTGATCAGGCACCTGTCGGATCGTGGGGGCCAAGGTGGCACCGTGGCTGCTGGTAGCGCCAACTGAGCACCAGGAAGACGCTTTGGCTGTCTGTTGACCCCTGCAAGCCTTTGAAGCCGGCTACTCCAGAAAGAGCCACTAATGCCCACCCATAGCCCCCCAGTATGCTCAGGCGTTTAGAGGAATGTCTCCCTGGTGTCCAGGCCTGTGCGTCTCAATGCCCCGACTCGATTTGAATTAATTTAGCAAGTGGCGTGAGATCAGATGCGGCTTGTGGTCTCCTGGTAAAGGTGTATTTTAAGTTGATGACAAAGCCTGTCCTTAACCTCCTCTTACACGCAGCTCTCCATTCTGGCACCACAAATGTCTGTGAGCCCCTCTGGTCCGTGCTGACCGCTGATGCCCCCAGGCAGGGCTATGAGAGGTGCTTCAGAAGCTTTCAGAAGTCTGGTGACTAGGACTGGATTCTAAGGCAGTGGGGCAGAGGTGTACACTGAGCCATAAACCTCTGTGGCTGAAACTTGCACAGCTCCACGTCCAGCCCCTTGCCAGGGAAGGCGTCAGGATGCCATATTCAGGAAAGAGCCACAACCTGCTAGCCCAGAGACTCATCAGCTCATAGAAGAGCGTGCAGAAACCCAGCAGCGGCTTTCACAGGGTATTTCCTGTTGCTGATGAAGCTCCCATGTTACTGGGAATCCTGGGCTGGTGTGTGGGGATTTACAGCTTGAGTGACTTCCAAAGAGGCAGCAACAGCCGCTACTGCCCAGCATCCCTGGAGACGGCCTTTCCGTGGTACCCAGGCCCTGCCTTATCCTCCCTGCCCCAAGGACTGATAGGGTGAGGGGCAAGAGTGGCCTCCTGTCCTACTGTTGCTCCTGGCGACTCAGGGCTGCAGGGAAGAGCAGGGCAGCGGCACACCCAGCCCTCTAGGTCCTTTCTGGAATCCAGGCTCTGTTGTCAGGGTCAACCACTGCTCGGAGTGGGGCTGGGCTCAGACTCGGACACTGCATGGCTGTGCTCATCTTAGCTGTGATCCCAACTTCACATCATGGGGCTGGGGGGTGGGAGTGATAGGGGGCGCCCCGTGGGGAGGGGGTACAGTTCTCTGACACCCCTGCCATTGCCCAGTCTCCTGGGGTCACACAGGTCTCTTACGCCATTCCCCAGCAGGGCAGCAGCTCTGTGTGGTCTTGTTCCTGCCCCCGGCCAAGGGCTGTGTGCAGCCCCCTAGCCCCACCGCCATGGGGGACCTTCCGAAAAGGGCCGCTCACTCCAGCTGACCAGAGTCATCTAGTTGTGAAAAATGGGCTTTTTTGAAAGGGGAGTTTTATCAGCTCATACGTCCTTCCAGAGTCTACTGGAAAGTTTTCCTGTGGAGAGATAGTGTAAACAAGGTCTCAAATCCCACAGAGTAAAAAAGACTTCCTTTTATGGGCAGCCCTGGAAGGGCTGAGTGTCTGGGATGGTTTAAAAGAGCATCACATGGCCTGTTTGTGCTGATGTCACTGGCATCGCTCCCTCCGGTGGCATCTCCTAGGCCCCGGGCGTGGCCGGGAGCCAGGGCACCACGTGAGCTTGGCCCGGTGGCCGGCCGTTCACGGCTGAGCCAGCCAGAGGGGAGGTCACAGCCCAGCCTCAGAGGGGTGCCTGTGTTTATAGCCTTTCACTTGTTTTTATTTTCTGGGGGGGGGGGGTCCTTTTTCTAAGAAGTGACGGGAATACAAGAAGGCAGGCTGATGCCTTCTGCCCCAGGAGGGCTGCAGTTTTTACCCTCCTAGCCCGTGTGTGTGCATGTATGTGTGTGTGTGTGTGTGTGTCCTTTTAGGCCCAATGACCTAATTCTCTTTAGGTGGAAAGAGAATTTTTTCTGAGGAAAGGGGCGTTCAGGGCGCCCAGAACACCCTCCCAGCTCTACCTTCTCTAGTTTGGGGACCTTGGAACAAATGATTTCATGCTCTGGTCCTTCCACATCCCCACCTGCACGGTGGGGGTTCTGAAATAACACCTGCTCCCCTGAGCAGTTGTCATACAAGCTCGTGTGTCCTAACCCCGGTGCGCAGGCGGCCTGCACTGGCCTGTGTGCCATCTTCACCCTCCAGGTCCAGATCTTTTTCCGTTGGGAGAGGGCAGGCAAACGTTTTCTGTCAAGGGCCACACAATAAATATTTGGGGCTTTTAAGCCAAGCGGTCTAGGTTGTAACCCCTCAGCACAAGTTGTGGACTTGTCTGTGGGAAGCAGCCACAGGCACTCTGTAAATAAGCAGGCTGGCACTGTGCCAGGGAACTTGATTTACAGCAGCAACCCAGGCCGTTCCCACCATCCCTCGGGGTCACCACCGCGTCCACTGTCCCACCCAGCTGTGTCTTTCAAGCTGACTGACCCAGCAGGCAGAGGAACAGTCTGCAGATTTCTGTGCCCCTGGGTCTCCTCCATGGGGAACTTTCCCGAGGGCCAAGTGTCAACAGGTGGTCTGTCAGTCAAGTGGCCAGTCGGGAAACCAGTGTGGGGTGCTCAGAGCTTCCTAGATAGGGCAGGGATAACCCTTTGTGTGGAAAAGGGCCACAAGCCGACCTTTCTGGATACCACGACTTCCTCTTTCCTCTGTGGCCAGCTCTGTGGACATTTGCTCGGCTCCCCACCCGCCTTCTGCTGGGGCTCTGCATTCTGTGTTTATGAGAAGCACCCCTCCTCCCACAGCATGCTGCCTTCTGTCCCAGCCTGGCCTCTTCTGGGCTGGGCAGTACCTGCCCCCGTCACCTCCCTCCCGCTCTCCAGTGAGGCCCAGTCCCACTGCCAGGAGGACCCCCAGTCACCCAATGACCTAAGGGTTCCACAGAGCTTTGCAGCCCAAGTCCCATCGGGCTCAGCTGGGGAGACCCCACCCCGGCTTTCCTGTGTCCTCTGCCTGCCCTCACTGTGCAGGGCCCCTCTCGCCAGCCTGTTGGGCTACCACTTCAGATCTCCAGCAAGACTCTGGTTCAGTCCAGAGTAGCCCGGACCCCATGCTGGACAGAGACTTCCTTGCAGCCCCTGGGTTCTCTGCCAGGTGCCTGCTGCCAGGAGGAAGCTTAGGCAGAGCACAGGTGGAGCTGAAAGAGAGATGACCGTTGGGAAATCTCTGCTCCCACTTACCCTCGTCAGTGAGAAAGTGGAGATTTCCGGTATTCTAATTCTGGAACATTCTAATTCTGGAAGTAATGTTGAATCGGTGGCCGCAGGAGATGCTTTTCTGTCTTAGCGCCATTGCTGTAAATCATACCTGTCGTGATGGACTCTGTGTGAACCTGCATCCGTCCTTCTCGGGGTGTGGGAGTTGGGGGCTTGGACCAGGGGGCCCTAGTTTCCAGGTGTAGTGATGGGAGATAAGACAGGTAAGTGGGGGGATGCTCCAAGAGGGAAAGCCAGAGACTTGGGGAGGCAGGAGCGGGGCTGGCCTCTGCAGCCTGACTGCGACAGGGAGGTGGGGAAAGCCCAGACTCGTCCGCCCTGGCAGGTTGGGCCCATCCCGGTCTGTCTTCACCTCAGGTTTGAACTGATGCGCATGTGCTGGCAGTACAACCCCAAGATGAGGCCTTCCTTCCTGGAGATCATTAGCAGCATCAAAGATGAGATGGAGCCGGGCTTCCGGGAGGTCTCCTTCTACTACAGCGAGGAGAACAAGCCGCCCGAGCCCGAGGAGCTGGACCTGGAGCCGGAGAACATGGAGAGCGTCCCCCTGGACCCCTCCGCCTCCTCTTCCTCGCTGCCGCTGCCTGACAGACACTCAGGACACAAGGCCGAGAACGGCCCGGGCCCTGGCGTGCTGGTCCTGCGAGCCAGCTTCGACGAGAGGCAGCCTTACGCCCACATGAACGGGGGCCGCAAGAACGAGAGGGCCCTGCCTCTGCCCCAGTCTTCGACCTGCTGATCCTGGGACCCCGGCCCCGTGCAAACAGTAACGGGTGTGCACGCTCGGCGGTGGGGGGGTGGGGGAGAGAGTCTTACCAATCTATCCACAGCCTCCTGTACCTCAGTGGATCTTCAGAACTGCCATGGCTGCCCACGGAAGACGGCTTCTCTGCAGTAAACACATTTGGGATGTTCCTTTTTTCAATATGCAAGCAGCTTTTTATTTCTCTACCCAAACCCTTAACTGACATGGGCCTTTAAGAATCTTAATGACAACACTTAATAGCAACTCGACACTTGAGAAATCAAGTCTCTCTCTCTCTCTCTCTCCTTTCACTTTCTCTCTCTGCTTCATAATGGAAAAACATTTGCCACCAACCCAGCTGGGACGCCCTTTTTATCAGCTCAAGGCGATGGCAGTCCCTCCCTGTGGCCCCACACCGCCCGCGCCTCCCCCCTCCACACACACACCTGCCTGTCACCGTAGGTCTTTATAAAAAAACCCATTGGGACAGAATTTTTTTACCTGTATCTTTAGCCTTTTTAGGGACATACAGAATTTCAAAAGGGCCATCATTCATCCGAGGTTGTCACCATGTTAACGCTGCCAAATTCTGCCAAAACCCTGAACTTTCTCTTCACTCCCTGCCCTGATTTTCCCATCCCCAGAGGCCTGGGGGCAGGCAGGGCTTCGGGCACTCCGCTAAGGCCAGGCCGCCGATGCCCGGCGTGTTTTCCGAGTCTCAAGCTCACACAGGTCTAGTTGCTTGGGACGAGGTTCTGATGGGGGGGACCTGGGCGGCACAGGACCTGCTCTCAGAGAAGATGAGGAGGAGCTGAACCGGCTTCCTGCCCCACTTCCTCACCCCCCACCCCCACCTTCCAGCCCCCAGGAATTCTGGAGAGAACAGGCCCCTCTGAGGGCCTGGAAGACAGGCTGTGTGTGAAGGTCGTCCGTGTGCCAGTCTCCTGTCCCCACCCCAGCTCCCCGACCCGGCCTCCAAGGACACAGAAGGGAAGGGGTTTCCAGGGACTCAGCCCAACCGTTCATGCAGGTTTGCAAGGAAAGAAATTCCAACACCACAACCAGGAGAAGAAAAGCAGTAAATGGATTCAAGCATTCTAAGCTTCGTTGGCATTTTCTCTGTTCCTAGGACTTCTTCATGGGTCTCACAGTTCTATGTTAGACCATGAAACCTTTGCATACACATCGTCTTTAATGTCACTTTTATAACTTTTTTACGGTTCAGATATTCATCTATACGTCTGTACAGAAAAAAAAAAGCTGCTATTTTTTTTTGTTCTTTATCTTTGTGGATTTAATCTATGAAAACCTTCAGGTCTACCCTTCTTCCCTTTCCGCTCACTCCAAGAAACTTCTTATGCTTTGTACTAGAGTGTGTGACTTTCTTCCTCTTTTCCCAGTCATCGAGACTTCTAGAACATAATTTGCCATGAACTGTTTGATGCCTTTTTATAAACACATCTTGCCCCCCCCCCACCTTCCCCGCACCCCCAGCTCCGTCCATTCTGTTCTAACCCCTAGGCTCTGTGGGCACCAGGCTGGTGAGGGCAGGAGATGGAGAGACAGCGTGGCCCCAGCCCCCCTTGAGGGCCATCCTGGGGTGCCATGCACCCTGCTTTCCTCAGCCTGCTCTCACACAGCAGTTGAGTCTGTTACAGCGCAAGACATGATACAAACTCAGGTCAGAAAAAAAGGTTCAATATTTCGCACATCCTTGTCCGGTGTTGATAGTTACCTTCTCTCGCTCTGCCTTTGTTTTGGTCGTAACACACATAGATCTATTTTTTTAATTCTTGGGTACAACAGCAGTTTTCACTGCAGACACTAGGCATTTGGATTGCTTTTTTTTTTTTTAAATGAATATTTCATCCTTCCATCCCATGAAAAACAGCTGCTGAGTCCCAGGGTGCAGCAGAGCATGGTTCCAGCGGCCCCCTGCGGCCTGCTGCCACGCCCCTGCAGGCCCACCGACTCGTCCTTCTGACCGGAGAACCCCCAGGGCCCTCCCGGCACTGGCAGGGAGTGGGGTGCAGAGGCCACCTCCCGGGGTGGCGGCAAGCCCACTGCTGGTGCAGCCGCAGTGGCTCGCCCCCAGGGGGCCGGAGCCCTGGAGCTGGCACCATTTTCCATAGCCAGAACCCCAGGCCTCAGGGGGTCCTGCTTGTTGAGTTTTTAGCACTTCTCACCGGAGTGATGAGAGCACAAGAGTTGCTTCTGGGATGGAAATGTTCAAATTTTGAGTAAGAGCAAAGTTGAAGTATGATGATTGCTTGTTGTGACTGGAGACTAAACAGTTTATAGTGCTTTTCCCCACAGATTTCTGGAGCTTTTGTCCCATAGGTTTTTTTTCCCCCCTTAAAAAAATAGAGAAAGAAAAAAGTTAATTAAGAAGATATATGTAGGAGATTTTTTTTAATTTATTTTGTGATACCAGTTTCAATCACTGTAGAGAAGCCCCATTATGAATTTTAATACTGAGGAAAGGTGTGTGTGTGTGTGTGTGTGTGTGTGTGTGTATGTGTGTGTGTGTGTAAGACAGGACAGTTTTTGGTTTTTTTTTTTTTTTTCAAACATTTATCTACCTCACTCTTATTTTTTATATGTGTATATATAAAAAAGAATACATCTCACAATTCTCAGCACCTGACAATATGCCGTTGATACTGGTAACCTCATCCACATCACAGGCCACACACTCCAGGTGACGCAGGGAGAGGCCAGGCTGTATTCCGGGGTCGAAGCAACACTGACTCGCCTCTAATTATTTTAAACACCTAGCCTTTCCCCAAGATGTCTCTCTGTGTCGCTCCTGTTCTTCTCCTAACTTGGTTTCCTGAGAGGTTGTGAGGTATCGGGATTCCAACCCTCTGGGCACCTTCTCATTTCCCATCCTCTACCCCTGACACACTCTCTTCTGTGAGGCCAGCAGAGCTCAGAGCTGGCAGCCGGGACCCACTTGGCTGCCCCAGGCTGGTTGTCTTTGAAACAAACTACTCCGTGCAGATTGAATGACAACCAGATTCCATCACTGGAAGAGCAGTTGTTCCCCAGATTTTGAGGACAGACAGGCCCAGGGTGGGGGGCAGGCAGTCTGTTAGAATCTCGCCCTAGCCTGGACCTGTGCCAGGCAGGGATGTGCAGCTGCTGCTCTGTTCCAGCCCAAGGGTGCGGCCGTGTTCACACATGGACAGCTCAGACCACAGGCAGAGGTTATGCCAATCCCAGAGAGAATGTATGGAGAACAGTTCTCTTCTCCCTCTCCAGAATTTTTCTGCCCTTACCCGCTTCTTCCCCAGGGGAAAACAAGGGTAATGCAAACCTTCATGCTGGAAGGGGCCAGTGGTGGGTGCTGAGTTGCCTCCCGGGGTGCCATGGCCCCCTCGGGGACTGCCTCCCCCCACCCCACCCCAGGCATCCTGCTGCTCACAGGGGGCACTGCGCCTTCCCCCATTCCAGCAGCTGCTCTGTTAGGCACTGATCATCCTACCTGGGTGGGTGTTTTTCCCACCGTGTGGATGGCTCCTTTGTAGCTCCAACACTGCAGTTATGCTTAGGAGCGTTTTCCCTCCTGCAAGAACATCACCCTCTTCCCTAGCCCCCCTGGGAACTCACAGTCATTGAGAACTATTGTTTGATCAGGGTTTTCTTCTTCCACACTGTCAGTGACCCCCTGGAATAGTGGCCTCTCCTCTCTTTTGCACATACCTACCGGTTTCCACAACTGGATTTCTACAGATCATTCAGCCGGTCATAGGGTTTTGTTGAAACTGTCCGAGTTGTTGGTGTTGTTTTTGTTTTATGTAGGTGGTTTTTCTTTAAATAGAAAGAAAACACTAACAGTGTAGTGCCCATCATAACAAATGCTTCAGACACACTTAGGTAAATGAGCAGTTTTTGCTCCCGTGATGGTGCAGTCATGTTACTGGACCAAACCACCCACCTTGATTCTACCCAGGCATCATCTATCCACAGTTCTAGCCTAATTTTATGCTGATCTCCCCACCTCTTCTTGATTTTTCTCTTTTGTATGCTCCAAATAATTTAGTCAAGCTGAGTTGTGGCATTTTCCATGCAACCTTCTCTGACAGCAGCTCATATTGCGTGATGTGACATGAACCACTTGAGGCACATCATTGAACCGACTGAGCATTATATTAGCACACACCGCCCTTCCCAAAGCAGCAGGAGCTGGTGTTTTCTGGAGACGTTGTTGCACTTCAGTCATTGTTGAGTGAGACCCGGACCACCCCAGGTCTCCCCAATGGGATATCCTGCCGTTTGACACAGTCGGGGGGCGCTTCCTCCTTGAAAGCTAGAAGACCGTGTTCGCGGCCACGACTGACCCCCCTCTTCATCTTGTTTCTTATGACTCGGAACAACATTTCAATGGTAGGAAAAGTGACTTAGTAAAATCGACAAGTGGCTACTGTGGAACTCTACCCACTGGCAGAACGCTTGGCCTGAAGTGGTGTGTTCTGATTGCAGTCACAGATTTACGAGCCAAGTAGGATGCCAAAGGCTAGGCCAGTCTGTTCCACCAAAGCCTCTTTCTCAACAGCCCACCTCTGTGGCAGGTGGCTGTATGTGAAATCCATCACACTGAGCTCAGACCAGTGACAAGGCTAGGATGTCAGTCCAGGTCCTCAGCTGTCACTGCCGGGTCCCCTCCCAGGGTGGCCAGACGGCGTCAGAGCAACTCCTTTCCAACACCCGGGCGCCCTGCAGTCGACAGTACCACTCCCTGGCATGCCTTGGCCCACCCCAGCCATCCCAGTCATGCATTTAAGATTTGGGGTTTGTTCTTTCCATGTTACTTCCGTGTTTGTCAGCTGTCTTTTCATTTCCTGGGCTAAGCAGCATTGGGAGATCTGGACCAGAGATCCGCTCCTTAACAACCAGTGATGAAGGTCAAACTTTCTTACTCCACTCTGAAGTAGTCGGTGGTACAAAGGAAAACTTCAAGAGAGGATGTTTAGATTGAACCTCTGTTGCCAGAGATGCTGAAGATACAGACCTTGGGCAGGCCAGAGGGTTTCATACTTGGTGGCCTCCAGCGTAGATGACTAGTTGGTCATTTAGAGAAAAAACAGATGAACGCTCCTTGATGGTGGAAGGACCAGGCGTAGGAACTCATGGCGTGTGGGGTCAGGACATGGCACCAAGAGAAGAAGGTGAGCAGAAGGGTACAGGGCTTGGAAGAAGTGTGGGCCACGTTTTGAACTTGATGGTTTCTGAAGGTAATCAGACCACATCAAGGCTCAACTGTCATCCATGGGCATTTGGTTTCAACAAATAAACCTAACATCCTATTTTGGAAACTTATTGCGGAGTTAAGTCCAACTTCAAGACCGTGAACTGCAATCCACCCGTCAGTTGTCAGTTCTGGGGCATGACTTTAGGGTTTCCTTTTATTTTGTTTATGTAGGAACATAATGATCACTCATCTGTATGTCCACGTTTGTGTGCGTAAACATTGTTTTGATTAGTCACTCATTAGCGTTCTCAATAGGGCTGTTCAGTCCAGTAGATTACGGGTAGTCAGTTGACGAAGATCTGGTTTACAAGAACTAATTAAATGTTTCATTGCATTTTTGTAAGAACATAGAATAATTTTATAAAATGTTTGTAGTTTATAATTGCCGAAAATAATTTAAAGACACTTTTTTTCTCTGTGTGTGCAAATGTGTGTTTGTGATCCATTTTTTTTAGGACACCTGTTTACTAGCTAGCTTTACAATATGCCAAAAAAAAGAAAAGGATTTTCCCCCAACCCAAGTTGTGGTTCACCCTCTCTCCCGCCCCCCCATCCCTTGCTTTGTGCCCTAGTTTATAACAAAGGAATGATGATTTAAGAAGTAGTTCTGTATCTTCAGTATCTTGGTCTTCCAGAACCCTCTGGTTGGGAAGGGGATCATCTTTTACTGGTCATTTCCCTTTGGAGTGTAGCTACTTTAACGGACTGAAAGAACCTCATTGGCCACAGAAACAGCAGAGGTGTGGCAGCCACGGGGGGCAGGTGGCACTCTCCGGCATCTGGCTCGGTCGGTTGGGTTGTTATCACTGGTGTGCAATCCCCAGAGGTGGAAAGACTTGATTGTACGACTCGTGTTTCAGCGATCGCAGCGTACAGACTTACCATACAGAAAATGGAAATGCTGGTGCTTGTGGGCCGTGTGCTTAGGGGCCTCACCATGATTCACGCCTTGTTATAACAAGGGAAGACCCTGTTTATCTTTATTTAAGGCAGAACACCGAAGATTCATTTCCCCAACCCAAAACAAATTCTTTTAATACAAACTACACACACCAACCTTTGTTCTAAGTTTGATTCCGTTTCCTCTAGCTCCCAGTGGATTTTTGGCCATGTCTACACAGCTCACAGAACCCCCCTCGTTGGAAACAGCTGGATGTTTTGCACTAGCATAGGAGAGAGGTCCAGAAACAATTTTGTTTTCAACTTTTTCATTCGGATGTTAGGCGTTGCATAGACACATCCACAGGTGGAATAGATGCTTGGCAAAAAACACCTGTCTGCTTTCTAAGCCAGTGAGGTTGAGGTGAGAGGTTTGCCAGAGTCTGTCTACCTCTGGGACACACAAAAAAAAAAAAAAAAAAAAAAAAAAAAATCAAACCAGAAGGCGCGATGGAATGAATGCATCGCAAATAATGCATTTTTCTGAGTTTTCTTGTTTAAAAAGTTTTTTAAAAAAAGAAAAAAAAAACAAAAAATGTAATAACAAGGCCAATTTGTTACATAAAATGACTGTGTATAAATTATTCCTAAAAAAAAAATTTCCTCTGTTTATATAAAAAAAAATCAGTAGATGAAAAAAATTTCAAAATGTTTTTGTATATTCTGTTGTAAGAATTTATTCCTGTTATTGCGATATACTCTGGATTCTTTACATTATGAAAAAAAAAGAAGAAACTTTGTCTATTTTGAATGGCTGAAGCTAAGGCAACTTTAGTTTCTCTTACTCTGCTTTTTTCTAGTAGTTAAAGTACTACATGGTTTAAGTTAAATAAAAGAATTCTGTATGCATTTTTGGTCTCTGGCTTTGCTTCCTCCCTTTCTGGAAGATTCACCACGCCTCAGGGCAGGGAAGCCGAGTCACGGGAGGCTCCTGTGTTCACACTGGGAGCTGGGAGGTCTTCTGCATGAAGACTTTGCTTTCTGACAGCTGAACCTTCTCAGCCTGCAAATTGCTACTGAAGATGGGGAAACTATTCAGTTTCTCACTCCATTAAATCAGCTAGAAGAAAATTTGCCCAAAATACAGAAATCTATTTCATTTATGACTGATTTGTGTAGACTTTTCCTCTACCTTCTAGCAAAAGCCAGACTTGCTCAGGGTGACTGGGGCAGAGCACATACTCTCTTCATGTCTCCGTGTCCTGCTTGGTACCATGTGAGCACCAGGTCAGCGCACACAGGACAGGGCTAGCTGGAGGAGCTGGAAAATTTAGCTGGCCAAGCCAGTGATCTCCTACCTCCCGGGGGGTTCAACCCAGGCCTCGTTATCTTTGCCACAGGACACAGGTATGGTATGTAAATATGAATGTTCTAGAATCAGAGCAGAGATGCCTAGGCACATCGGAAGGGCAAGCTGGTGACTTCACTGAACTTGGATGGGAAATTCATAGAAAATCACACTTCAGGAACAAAACCAGGCCCGTGGATAAAGGACTGGCTATAGACAATCGCAGTCAATTAAAGGCCATGCTTCCTTAAGACCTGTAGGATCTCCCGGATATTTGGACAAAGACAAAGGAAGGATAAAAGAAGGATATAAAGTTCTGGGGTCTTTGTTCATCACCTAGTGCCAGGCTTGCAGGCCCATCTCTGGATCACCAGGACTGAAGGCAGCACGTTTCTGAGGCGTGGAGGGACATCAGGGGTGTGAGTGAGGTGGACACAGGAGTGGGGAGCGGTTGCTTCTGCATGTGCCTGCAGCCCAAAGGAGAAGCACCTTCTGAGGGACTTAAGAAATGTCAGAACTGTTCCCCACTCCCCCACCCCCCCACCTCCGCTTCCTGACACCACACACCCAGCAGGACGACTCCAGAGACTGCTCTTACCCTCGGGTCTGGCCATGTCAGTCAGATGTGTAGATGCCCGCCATCCTCACGCCACAATGGACACAGCCATCCACTATCTCACCAGATCTTCACCACAATTCTGCAAAGAATTTTTGTGGCTCTGTTGCACACCCGAGCAAACATCCAGACACACATGAAACCTCATAGCTCTTACGTGACCTACCCAGGGCTCAGTCTGTGAGCCGTGAGTTTGCAAACTGACTCCAAACTGCCACAGTCATTCATAACTAAGAAGCCAATGTGTATGGACAGGGAATGCCCGGCCACTGACACAGACTAGGATGAAGACTTTGGGGTGCACAGAGAGGGAGATGATGGGGGAGGTGGGGAGGGAGCTCTGGGTCTCCCAGTTGGATGATACCTAAAAGTTCTTAAAATGTGTATGGCCTGGTGCCAAGCAATCTGAGATAACACTGGGGCAGGTCTTGGGGGTCCCCCACTCACCACTGTCTGAGACAGGAGCTAGCACAGGGGGTACAAGTTCTCTGGGCAGCAGGTACCACCTCCAGATATTCCACACTATCAGTACCACAGCCGAGCTGTGCAGTCTGGCCACAACTTCCCACCCACAGGCTGGCTTTGGTCTGCTTTATGTCAAATGATCCAGTTTCATTTGCAAAGGAGGTCCTGGGAAGTCTATTCCCAAGGCAACACTAATGGCAGAATCAACAAGACCTACCTGTTTCTTGGTTATTAAGTTGAAAATGCCTTTTCTTACAGTGACTGGATCTGTGAGTTTGTGAAACGTAGCTATGAGTTTGTTAAAGGTAGCAAAGTGAAATAGATAGAAACTTAACACATCCACAGAAAAATATGCTAAAACTTAACCACCTTCCTCCCCTTCCTCCAAAAATCAAGGTTTCCAAGGGGGTTCCCAGTGGAATCTACCCCCAGAAAACACTAGACAAATGAAATCATGCTGTGAGCAGCTTGGCACAAGGCAGGGTATAGTGTCCCCAAAGCAAAACAAAAGATGAAAAGGGGAGATTCTGTTCCCTAAAAGCCAGGGGTGAGATTGACCATGGCAAAGAAGCTCAACCTAGCTGTCAACCTCTGCTGTGAGACCAGAGACTCTGGGGAGCATTGAAAATGGTGCAGCTGCCTTGGAAAACAATATGGCAGCTCCCTGAAGAGTTCAACAAAGAATCACCCAGCAATTCCACTGTTAAGTATACATACAAAAGAACTGAAATCGGGGACTCTAATAGATATTTGCTCATCAGGGTTCGTAGTAGTAGTGTCACTACTAGGTGTGAGCAACTTAGTCTACCAAATGATGAATGGATCAACAGAAGGTGGTCTACACATACATGCATTGTGGTGTAGACATGCATGTGTAATACTCAACCTTAAGGATTGATGCAGGCCGTGTGGATGAACCTTGACAACCTTAGACCAAGTGAAATAAGACAGTCACAAAAGAACAAATAGTATGATTTGATTTATATGAGGTTCCCAGAGTCATGCATTTGAGACATGGAGAGTAAAATTATGGCTGCTGAGGACTGAGGGACAGGATAGGGGAGTTGTTATTTAATGGGTATAGAGTCCTAGCCTGGGGTGATGAGGAAGTTCTGGAGATGGGTTGTGGTGAGAGTTGTGCAGATGTAGGCACATAGAATGCCACTGAATGCTGAAAAAGGGTTAAAATGGTAAATTAAATTTAAGGTGTAGTTTATCATATTTTTTTAAAAGAATGAAAAAAGAAAAAGATGAAAGAAATGCAAGCCTCTGTGGTTGAGAAACTGCCCACATCGCCTGGGGACACAAGCTTGGAGGCCAGGTTGGGACACCCAAGCAGTGGTGACACCTGTGTTCCCCCATGGCCAGTGGGTCACGGGTCAACCCCCCGCACGAGGTTGAGCAGGACAAGTATGTGGTCCCAGCAATCTGGGAAGGATCACACAGGCCTGCTGCAGCCTTTTAAGAGAAAAACAAATTACTGGGATTTCATTTTATTGTCATGAAAACCATAACTGCAGTGAGTTAATCCCTTGTGAAATGTCTCCTTTCAGAGTGTGCTGCTTTCTTCTGACAATAAAATAACACTTGTGATTTCCTTGGGCTAATTGAGAATTTTTTCCCTCTGTATAAACTGTTTTTACAAGCAATTTTTCAAAGCCACGCGAAGCACAGTTGAACTCTACACACAGGACTGCAGCCTCTCCTTCCCCTAAAGGAGCCGTCTCCCCATTGGTTTCCCTCAGCTAGAATCACGAAAGTTGAGTTTTCTGCAAACCAGGCACCCTGTCCAAGCTTTCCCACTCTCCTCCTGCATTTCCCGGATGCTGATTTTGCCAGGCTGTCCCAGCAGCTGACTGGAAACAGCAAGAGATGGAGGCAGCAGGATGAGCACAGCTCACTCATTTCCATGATGCAAAGACAAGTAAAAGTGGTCAGTGTGCCCACAGGCATCTCTGCATCTGAAGCATGTGCCCTATCACTCCCTGGATCAGCCTGTGAGCCGAGTGCAGTGTGAGCAGAAATGTCGCATCTCCATTGCCCCAGGAGGGAGGGTTTCCACTCAGGAGACTTAGTTTTGTTTCTTCTGCCTCAGAAAGAACATGTTGCTGGAGGGCCTCCCTGGTGGTGCAATGGGTTAAGCACAGCACTTGTGAAGATTTCCGCAGCCAGTGAACCAAGAGTTCCATCCCCGGCCGCCCAGGGAGTTACCCACATGGCGCAGCAGACCTCTCCTGTCTCTCCCGCTGCTCCCCTCAGCAGTGTATTTCAGTCAGTCTGCCTGTTCTGCTCTCCACTCTTGTCTCTGAGGAATCTTCTCACCCCCTGCATCTCTGGCCTGTACCCCAGTTCTTGTATGTATAAATAAAGCTTTTTTTAAAAAAAAAAAAAAAAAAAAAAAAGAGGGCCTCCCCTGTTGGCGCAGTTGTTGAGCGCTGGGCTGCGAAGCTGCCCACAGCCTCTGCAGCACCAGTTCGATCCCCGGCCACCGGCGAGGGTCCCACATGGCACCACAGACCTCTCCTGCCCACCCGCTGCTCCCCTCAGCAGTGTGTTTCATCAGTCTGCCTGCTCTGTTCCCCGCTCTGGCTCTGGTGAATTCTCTCACCCTCCCACGCTTCTGACTGTACCCAGTGCTTGTATAAATAAATACATCTTTATAAAAAAAAAAAAAGAACATGTTGCTGGAAATGAACTGGGAAGAGACTAGTTCTTGGCCTCAATACCAGTAAGTGATTGAGCCTGGACAGGGATCAGATTTTCAACCATGAGCCCAAAACACCTTTACCCCCAGGACCCCTGTCCTGTATGTTTGCCTTGAGTCATCTGTTCATTCACTCTTTAGGAGGATCTTTAATAGAAAGTACCTCCTGGGGGCCACAGTTGGGAGGAACAAAGATAAATCTTTATCTAGGACTCAATAGTTACCTCACAACTTTGCCCCCCTAAAAAATAAAAATAAAGCATCCACTAAATGTTAGGGACTCTCTTAGATATAAGATCTGCAGCAGTTGAACATATAGATAAAAACATTGGCAATATGTTTAATGACACCAATGATAAATATATTTCTGGAGCTTCAACTCCTACAGCAAGGGAAATAAAAGCAAAAAGAAACAGTTGGCATTACCACAAATTAAAAAGCATCTACACAGCAAAAGGAAATAGATTTAAAAGACATCCTATTGAATGAGAGAAAATATTCACACATTAAACAACCGAGGGAGGTTAATATCCAAGATACAAAAAATATATTCAATTTAACAAACAAAAAACTCAAACAACCCAATTAATTAGTAAATGGGCAGCAGATATGAATAGAGGATCTAGAAGGCCAACAGATAGATGGGAAAATGTTCGTCATCATTTTTTTTTTTAAAGATTTATTTTATTCATTCATCCAAGAACTGGTAATAGGCCAGAGGTGTGGAGGGCTGTGGTGGTGAGAGGATTCACCGAAAGACAGAGTGGGGAACACAGCAGGCAGATCCACTGAAATACACTGTTGAGG